CATTATCCATAACAATTACACTGGGCTTACTTAAATTTGGTATTAATTTTTCTCTGACCCATTTCATAAAGTTCGATGAGTTCATATCATCATGATAATCAGCAGATTTGGATTTACTACTGAACACTAATAATGCACCAGGCACAAAACCTTCCTCAGATCCAGCATGCACAACAATATGCCGTTTTCCAGAGGATATCTTTGTAGTGACACCAGTTGTTGAAGGTCCTTGCCAAGACTTTTTAACTTTATAATTCTGATGTACATAAGTTTCATCAAGGTACACAATTTGCTTTCCTTCGTTTCGTTTTATATTTATTTCTCTCAAATACTTGTGCCTCCATGCAGAAATCTGGTATTTTTCTATAAGCATAGAACATTCATTTTCATTGCTTTTAAAAGAAAATCCATTCTTAAGCATAATTTTTCGTAAAGTCTCACGGCTACCACTGAATCCTATTGCATCTTTTAATTCATTGTGAAGGCTTCTTAATGTTGGAACAATTTTTTTCACACAGTAAAATTCATTTACTTTATTCCGAATTGCACTTAAATCAAAATTATCTAAAGCAGACACTGTTGGTTGATGAGGTCGTTTTTTCCCAGGAGTGTCCCATTTTCCTTTATTAATTAATGCTTCATTTTTTATCCTTCTTAGTGTCCTTATACTTACATCTATAAAAGATTAAACACTTTGAAACAAAGATATGTTAAATGTATTTAAAAGCAAATAATGATAGACACATACATCAAAATAATTTAAATACCTATTCAACTATGAATGCAATTTATGTTTAATTTAGTTAAGTTTATGTGCATATTTAGCATGTATAACAATTACATGGTTTGATTAGTTTCATGAATTCTGTGAATTTCCTTGTTAAACAAAACATTCTTATGACATCATTGGATGTCAACAATAAAAACCAATACATCATAAAAAACCTATGTAAATATTATAGGAATACTATCAATCTATCTTAAATCAAAACAAGAAAAGAGACCTGTCATTGAAGAAATTTTTTGTAAGTACTGCGTTTCCGAATTCAGCATTTCTTGTTTTTCTAAAGTTTTTATTGCATTTATCTCCTCCATTATTGGTTGAATATCACCATCACAGTTATCTGAAATAGAGCAATATTTTATAAAAAATATCTGTTTAGTTAATTACAGAAAATTAAAACGAAAGTATCAAAATTATAATACAAAACTAACCTAAAAAAGATACAACTTTATCTAATCGTTGTAATTTCTCCATGAAATTTTTATTTAATTCAGTTTTCACTTCAGTAAACTTGTCAATCATGATGGAAAGAAGTTTCCTCGATGAACTTTTTATCGGCTTCGACATAATTTTTAACCAAAAACACAAGTTCAAATTCGCAAAAACAACAAAATTCAATATTCTTGAATTGTCTAACGTAGTGTCAAACTGACAGTTCTATGTTGTTGCCATATGAAAACGGAAAAATAGGTGGTGTCACGTTTCGCTTGCCAAACTCTACTATTCAGTTTGTTATATCGGTGTAATTATATGAAACCGAATGAATTATTAAATTAAATTCTAAGCCTGCATTAACATATGGGCTACTTTTTATCTAAGCTAGTTTGTTAGAAAACAAAACTTCTTAGCTTATGATTCTATATGAAGAGTAAAAAATTGTTGTTTTTAATAAGTCGCTTTTGAGATAAGTAAGTATTATTTATCCCTTTTTAATAGTTTCAAGCCGGTTCTATTTAATATATATATATTTTATGATATTAAGTGATAGTGATATTTTTTATATAATAGGGATGACGACCAATTTTCGTTTGTTTGTCCGTCTGATTTGAACTAGTCGTTTTCAGGCATATACCTATGTATATGCCTGAAAAATCTACCTGCATTTATATGCAAATCCATTTAGCAAATAATGACGTCTTCATTATCTATCTATAATGTTTATGATCCAAGGTATAATTCCCGCAAATTGCTAATGCGCCTGGCCGCCATTTTGATGACATAGTTACATTAAAAATCGGTACCGTTAACAAATAAATACTGCTTAATGATTACTACACTTATTGAGTTGGGTTGTGTTGAAAGCAGACATAATTTTTGTTATGTTTTTGTTGGTTTATTGTTAAGTTTTGTTGTTACTTGTTATGGTTGACTAAAACAGCAACTATTGTTATGATTTTTACAATAAGTAAACATAATTTCACTAATAATAAATATATTGAATGTCTCTCATTTAGTTCTTACTTTTGGTTAATTATAAATATATATATCCTCTCTATTTGTTATTGCATTACTTATTACAAAGTCATTCCTCATTATTTATGTATAAATCAATTCTTTTCCAAAAATTTATGCAATAAATTAATAAACCAAAAGTTATTGAATTATTAAAAAACTACTTTAGGTAATAAACGATAATATTTCAATAATTAATGAATAATTTATCTCTTGCCTTTTGTGCTATCTATACTTCCTATTTTGATATGACGTCACACGGATCTTGTTAGACAAGGTTCCAGCGCATTATTTATGATACTTATATACCTTCGATAAACAACTTATACAACTAGTTAACGCCTCCCATACTAAAACAATACTCAATAAAAATTAGTTGTTGAAATCAAACTAGATGTCACTAGCGTTGTTCGGATATTGTCTATAATATTCATTCAAATTTTGTTTCTGACGTAATAAAAGTAAATTGAGTATCGAAAATTAATAAATATGATATCTTTTCGTGTTTTTTATGATATCTAACTTTCAAATTTATTTGAATCGTAAGTTTAAGTTATTTATTATGTTACTAGTAAAGGAATAATGTTTGGTTTATATGTCAACATTAGTGATGAGTCAACTTATTGGTTGCTCGTAACTTCAATTAACTCGATTCATCCGAATTCAGGTTTGGTATCAAGAACAAAAAGTGGAGCGCTGAATTCTGCTTATATTTTTCCAGTGCAGGCTCTCCCCACTGGCAGCACCCGTTGACGAGCTTGACGCATGAGCCAGCCATCGCTTCACTCAACTATATTTGAGGGAACGTAACGAACACGTACAATTTATGCTGCCATCTAGTGACATAATTTTTTGTAGTTTCTTTATTTTTTTAAATACTTCCTCATTAAGGCACCATACCATAGACCACACACTAGATTTTGATTAATGAGGAAGTATTTAAAAAAAAATAATGAAACTACAAAAATTGAAGTCACTAAAAGAAAAAGAAAGCTTCTTACAATAATATTGTCAATAATAAATTGACTTCCTACTCAACCTACTCTAGATATCAGTTTTAGTGAAATATATAACTAATCAAGCACCTAGAGTAGTCATGCGGTGGTGTCGTGAACGTCGGGTCGTTACATTCCCTTAATATTCCCTCAATAGATGAGAAAGCGATGGCTGACTCATGTGTCAAGGTCGTTAACAGATGATACCAGTGGAGGTGAGTCTGCACTGGACTACTTAATTTTGTCCATTTTCTTTTATTATGAATATTGTATATTGACTTGGTAATTACCACAGCGTCCAAAGTCTTCAATCTGTGTGTGTTGCCAGTGATGACTTATGGAAGCAAAATGTGGTCGATCACTATGGGTCTTTTAAGAAGGCTCAAGGTTTCCAGCGGGCAATGGAGAGAGCAATGCTTGGTATCTCTCTACGTGATCGAATTAGCAATCTGGAGATCCGTAGAAGAACTAACGTTGACGATCTTATAAAAGTTGCGGGAAGCCGCTGGATGCGGGCTGCGCAGGACCGATCGTCGTGGAAATCTATGGGGGAGGCCTATGCTCAGCAGTGGGCTCTTATTGCTGATGATGATAATGATGATATTTACTTGTCAATGAGTATGTAGGATTTCTGATATTGTAATGGAAAGTGACTTCATAGTCTAATTAAGTCACATTCCAATAAGACTTCTCTGTGTGAAATAAAACAGGAAGAATAAAGCAGCCCTAGCTGAGTTTCTTGCCGGTTCTTCTCAGTACAAGATCTAACGCCTTAGTTTTGCATATCGTTGGCAAACTTTTAGACTTTCACAAGTATTATGTTACAGCCTAGACTGAATTGATTTTGATATTTATATTAATATGATTCGACGTGTGGATGCATAATGGCACATATGGAAATACTGCACATAAAAAGCAAGCTGAATTCAGCGCTTCGATTTTTGTTCTTGTTTCCAAACCTGAATTTGGATGAATCGAGTCAATTGAAGTTATTAGCAACCAATAAGTTGCCTCATCATTAATGTTGATATATAATCCAAATATCATTCCTTTACACGTAACATAATTAATAACTTGCGATTCAAATTAATTCAAATTAATTTGAAAAATAGATATTATAAATAACATGAAAAGTTGTCATATATATGAATTTTTGGTACTCAATTTACTTTTATTACGACAGAAACAAAATTTGAATGAATATCATAGACAAGATCCAAACATCGCTAGTGACATCTAGTTTGATTTCAAAAACTATTTTTTTTTAAATACTTCCCCATTATTGGATGGTATCTACATTTCAACCTCCAACTCTATTAAAAACTATTGGCGCCATCGCAAACAAACTAAATCAAAATAAGACCGCATTTTGAAGTGAGGCTATAAGTCTTCGGGCATCTTTAATACTCTGACCGACCATCTAGTTGAATTATTGATCGAAGACTTATACATACATATATCTTCAAGAACTAAATAAGGGATATTTATAATGTTGACATTGAATATTAAATCTGAACAAAATAAATATTATGGCTATTTGAATAAAGTATTGATTATTAAAAATATGAAAAGAAACTGAATAAAATGTACGAATAATATAATATCTTATTTCATACGTTTTATTTACATACACAACATCGATCGATAATTTGTACACGTGCTAAAAAACAACCCACAGAAATGTGTTTTCGCCTTTATTGTTTTCTATGCTTGCAACACAAGCAAAATGTCTTAATTCAAATTTGTTTGAAGCCCAACGTTCCCTCAACGTTTTCTTGTTGATTGACATAAAATTAGAATTTATTTGAAGCATTTCATTTTAAATTCCTTACGAAATAGAAATATAGTGAGTGTTGTGTAAAAGACTTTTTGTGAAATATTTTATGTGTATCAAGTCGACATGACGTCGGAAAAGGGTAGGAAAGATAAAAACCAGAACATTCAAGTGTTCGTCAGATTAAGGTAAAGCGACTAATACTTATTTTTAAAATCATATATTTGCATTTAATTTTTATTGCCAAACACTTCTAGTTTACATAGAAGTCTCTGTATCTTTAAATACTTACAGTAAAATGTTAAAGAAAAGATGTGTGTATAAACATTTGTAGAATTAAATTAAACTTACATAGCTGTGTAACAGATTAAAAGTTAGGCCTATACTTATATTTGATTAAGTCTACGTTTTGCTTTATATGTAATACAATTGCATCTAATGTTACAGATATTAATTTTTCAAAATATCTGTAACATTTTTTCCTTATATTTTGTTAATGCTTGTGTATTAATTAACTTCTTCAAATCTCATAAATTGTGAAGCATTATGAAGTAATTTGGTTATTTAGTTTTAGACTTTTATTAAATGACACAGTTTTATAAACTTAGAATTTGTCATTCAATAAATTTCAATTTGTAAAAATAAAGTGACTATTTTCAGGCCGTTAAATCAACGAGAAAGAGACATAAAATCATTGGGTGTTGTGGAAGTGGTGAACAATAAAGAGGTAGTAGTGCGACAGTCACAGCAAACGTCGCACACCAAAAAGTTTACTTTTGATCGTGCATTCCCTCCTCATGCTAAACAGGTATGATTTTGAATATGTTTGTCAGCCCTATATAGGTAATTTTTTCGATTTGTTAAATTTATCTTCAGTGAAAATATTATGTGAATATTTGTCTTCCATGTACCAATAGCTATAACTTTGCAAATTTTGTCAATGGTTTGGAAATAGACAAGTCTAATTACAGATACTTAATCTTGCTATATATCTTAAAAACATAAGGAGACAAATGATAAATATTTTATTGATAACCCAAATACATGTATGAATCAATTAATGTGAAGTTCTGTTATAAAATAAATGAACTTGTATTAGACAACATCACACATTAGTCTTAGCCCAAGTTAAATAGCTTTAAGCCTTGGAGAAATAGAACTAAAGTATACAAACTTTATAATGGTTTTGAAGTCTAATTTTATTATGCTGGTATGTATTTTCAGGTTGAAGTTTATCAGGAAGTGGTCAGCCCTCTTATTGAGGAGGTGCTGGCAGGATACAACTGTACTGTGTTTGCTTATGGGCAAACTGGCACTGGCAAGACTCATACTATGGTTGGAGAGAACACGGGTGATGAGACAACATGGCAGAATGTTAGTATATTACTGTTATACTAAAAATATATGTTTCATTACTGCTGTCAATTTTCTCTATATGCCGTTTAGGATTGTAATCTCTGAATAGTGATTTATTAGTTACGTTATATAGAGAGTGACAATTACTTAAATTGAATATTTAATAAATTATCTCAAATTTCAATATTATTTAAATAATATTAAATTTCTATGACCCATTTTTTTTTTTAGTCAAAAGCAGATGTTACTATCTATTGTTAACCTTGCTTTTATGTTATAGATTCAACACTAACATGTAAATTAAAATACCCATACACAGAAATATTCTCCTGTTGCAGACAAGTATTGAAACATGCTTTAAACAATGTTTCTTATTGGAAAAATGAGAGGTGGAAAAAAAAACTTATGAATGATTCTCAATCAATTTGTAACATAAACTACATTTCTTGAGTTTAGTGGTAGTATGCATAATATAAGTATTATTTCTATCTTGCAGGATCCCCTTGCTGGCATCATTCCGCGTGCTCTCAGCCAGTTATTCGATGAGCTTCGCATTTCCAACACGGAATATACTGTTCGGGTTTCATACTTGGAGCTATACAATGAAGAGTTGTTTGATTTGCTCTCCTCATCTGAAGACAACTCTAAGCTGAGAATCTATGAGGATGTGACTAGGAAAGGATCCAATATTGTAAATGGACTTGAGGAAATAACAGTAAGTTGAAGCAATGAACATATATTTTATTACAATTAAAAAGCACTTCATATTATTGAAGTAATACAAAAATTGGTCACAACTAGGGTTTTCAAATACCCGACAATTTTAGATACCCGAGTCTCGGGTATATTTATTTTAAATACTCGGGTATACCCGGGTACCCGGGTAGTCTTGAATTTTTTGTGAAACTGGGAAAAAACGAAAACAAAACGAACCAAACTCTGGTACATAAAACTAAACAATTACATTTTTTTCAGTAAAACAATAATCACTCTTTAGTCAGTCTATAATTCTTCAATCAGTCACACTTAGTAATGAATACAAACAATTATACATTGTTATAAATATTTATCAAGTTATATTAGTGTCTAATCTTCTCTGTATATTAAGTATATTTCTTTATCAAATAAAAACAAACGAACCAAAGTCTGGTACATAAAACTAAACAATTAAACTTTTTTCAGTAAAACAATGATCACTCTTTAGTCAGTCTATAAATTACTTTATCAGTCTTTTTTAGCTTGTAAAAAGCGAGCTTTCAAAAATACAATTGCATGTAGAGATTTATCTGAAAGTCTGTTTCTGGTTTTTGTCACAAAATTCCCAGCTACCGAAAACACTCTTCGCTGTCGGTTGATCTAGGCTTGACTGTTAACAGGGCCTTGCTAAGAAGTTCTAGATTAGAAGTGCATTGCTTGGAAACTTCGATTAAATGAAAAAATGTATTCGGCATTATTTCTTACTTAAATTGATCAAAACAAGTATTTTTTATATTATAGTGTTATCTTTGTTGTTATTTGTTTTATAAAGTTTTTCTAAAAGTATTGTTATATAAGTATTGTTAATTATATATAAGTTATATTATATTGCTATGTTCTAAAATAAAAGAGAACGAATAAAGAAATTAATTCTAAGAAAATTTATTACCTGAATTTGCTTCTTTAACTTAGAGGGATCAATCTTAGTTGCCGTAATAGACGCAGTAGCTTTGTTTATGGCTTCATTCAATTCAGATTTTAATGATATATTATCATTGTTATTGTTAGCCATAGCCATAACCACATTTTTCTGCAGGCGTTTTGTCTACCAACGTGCATATATCAAAATTACCCGAGACCCGGGTACGTCCGTTGTTTGTACCCGGGTACCCGAAGTATCAAATACCCGGGTATACCCGGACCCGGGTACCCGGGTAAAAAACCCTAGTCACAACACTAATGTCAAAATTGTTATTAAAATCTAAACAGGTTCATAATGAGAATTTATGCTTTTTAACAGTTATTAAAAATAGTCATTATTTTGTGACTATGTTATATTGACAATGTAGTTATTTATCCCTCCACTTTATTTTATAACGTTAATTCATTTATTCACTTAATACTATGTAATAATAGTGCTTGAGAAATGGTACAGAAATATTTTGATTCATACGAATATCTATAGGGATTTCATAAATGATTTGAAGAAATAATTTTCTTTGACAGGTGTACAATAAAAATGAAGTTTACAAGATAATGGCCCAAGGACAAGAGCGAAAAAGGGTAGCATCAACCCTCATGAATGCACAATCAAGGTAAATGTAATAATTTATTACTCATATGAATTAATATGACATCTGAAAGGCATATTCTTTTTTCCTGAAAAACAACTTCTTATATTTTAATGCTTATACAACTCCAAAGCAACGCATTTTCCAGTAATTTATGATGCAATGGATGTAGGACTTGTCATTGCCTCTGATGCATAGATAATATACATGGATATATTTTAACAACATTATAAGAATGATTTTAAATTACTTATCTGACTTAGCCCTCAACTTAGGACAAATAGAATTAGTCCTCAGGTGTCATGTTAATTCATAGTTATAGGTGAATAATTGGTACTTGCTAATTAATTCATACCTATATATTTCAAATAATGAGAAATCAGTCTGGATGTTTGTTAAATCTATAGCAATGTAATTTGGGATTTCTATTGATATTTATTTCCTTATTTAATTTGCAGCAACCAAACAAATAACAAACTTACTTCTTTGTAAGTCAAACATTTATTTTTATTACTGTCGTAATGTTTATGTTTCCTCATGTAATAATTAAGGGATAACTTTGACAATCTTATATATTCTATTCATGTAAAATGTTTGGTGACTGCAAATTATGTTGAGGAAGCATAGGCAACATAAAATTCAATCATTCTCGTAATGGTTAACTTAAAGTAGTAATTATTGTCATTGTGTCGTTAATATCAACCTCACATATAAGGAAATATATTTTGCTTATTTGAAAAATATTTTGACATACAATTTTCATCCCTATGCGAAGGGTATGAGGTTGATATTTCATAATCCATTATAGAATGTGGCATCTATTTAGCTTGTGACACTTGTGTTCTTTCATTTCTTTGACGTTAATTTGTTAATAATATATAGATATTAAAATGTTTGCTACAAATTCAGTAGAGATTAGAATTTGTAGAGTACCTCCAATTCCGCACTTAGGCGCCTATATTGGTCCTTTGTCCATGATAACGAGATATAACACTGTATACAGTTAATAGTGATGTATAAAAAGTATACAACTTATTAATGTAATATACAACACTTCTTAATGATGATACTAGTGACCAAATGAAGACTGTACAATGAACAACGAGTCAATTCATATAAATACAGACATCAAAGTTCATCAAAAATTAAAGTTCCAAATTGATTGTGTACAGATATGATGTAGTAACTTTATGTTGTGCTGTGTACTACCTAAGGTCACATCTTATTTACAACCATCTTAGCTGGCCATATATCAATTCAGTTTTATATACAATATCATAAAAGTTTATTAGATTATTTCAGTTATAAATAGGGTATTTGATTAATTTTGAAAAATAGTTTTATCGAAATGTTGATATTAATGTGGACCTTCGTGGCAACATCGCGCGTATTGGTATTTTGCAACTTTGGACATCCGATGTCATTGATGTAAGCAGTAGTTTAAATTGTGTAAAAGTAAATAACTTTTTATTTAAAAAATCACGGGATTTTTTCTACTCTTTAAAATTAATCTCGGGATTTGAGGCATATCCACTTTATTCTTTCGCTGTATGAAATCAGTGTAAGTACATGAATAACTCTACCTAATTCCGACCACTGGTTATTACGCAATTAATTTAATTTTAATTTAGAATGACCTCAATTTTTAATATTCATATTTTTTATGTTGTCAAATACCCTATTGCAAGTAGATTTATGTTTATAGTTACTTGAATGCAACATTTTTTCCATAGCCGTTCGCACACAGTGTTCACTATAGTGGTGCACATGAAGGAGAACAGCCCCGAGGGTGAGGAGCTGGTTAAAATTGGGAAACTTAACCTGGTAGATCTCGCTGGTTCCGAAAACATCAGTAAGGTAAGTTATGAGAATCACAATAAAATATAGCCACAAACGTCACCGCCGCCGTAAAAAAAAAAATCCCAAACTTAGTAGATTAAACCTTTTTGCTATGGAATCTGAAAGATAACAAAAAAAAAAGAAACAAAGATCTCAGTATGCAAACAGCGGGTAAGCGACTTTTATATATATAGATTTTTTTTTCTTTAAATTTCCTTCTACCAATAAAATTTTTCATATTCCAAGGCGGGGTCAGATAACCCGGCGAAGCGCGAGCGAGCGCGAGAGTGCGTCAACATCAACCAGTCACTGCTCACTCTCGGCAGGGTTATCACTGCCCTCGTGGAGAGGCACCCACACATACCCTACAGGTATATTATACTGCTCATATGTGTATATTTAACAACAGGTAACTTTCTGTGCATTTTAGGTGCAACTTTTGTAAGCAGGCAGTAAAATAAACTCCTTTAATCGAATGACTGACTACTTTTTACGATATATTAGTTACTAACTTTCGTCAGTGGCTTCGCCCGCGTGGAACCTAGGGAAATGTTTAGTGGGATAAAAAGTATCCTATTATCTAAGTCAGCCCTATCTGTATACCAAATTTCATCAAAATCCGTTTAGTAGTTTCGGCATGATTGACGGACAAATATCCAAACATCTAAATATCCAAACAAAGAAACTTTCACATTTATAATATTAATAGGATTTAGTAGAATCGGGCATTACCTTTAAGTCCATTTTATAATTTATTGTAATACTACAATATTTTGCACCTTTAATATCCAGTTAACCTTTTAGATACATGTGCACCATCCCCATTTAAATGCATGTGTACAAATTGCACCTAATTCACCATCTAACTACCACTCTATTTAAACTTGCATTGCTAACTACCCGGTTATTTTATTGGTTTCCTCCGTTTTTTTTTTATTCACAATGTGAGTAGTTGACATTCATGTTATTCTCCTTTCTTTCGTAATAGGGAATCGAAGCTGACCCGAATCCTCCAAGAATCTTTAGGTGGTCGGACAAAGACCTCCATCATAGCTACGATATCCCCTGGACATAAGGTTATAATACATATTTCATAATTAGACTTGATATTTATTATCATATCATTTATGTAGCTAAAAAAAATTTTTCTGGATATAGGATTTAGAGGAAACCATGAGCACCCTAGAATACGCCCATCGGGCGAAGAATATACAAAACAAGCCTGAAGTTAACCAGAAGATGACAAAGAAAGCTATATTAAAAGAGTTTGCTGAGGAAATCGATAAGCTGAAGAGGGATCTACAGGCTGCTAGAGATAAAAATGGTAAGCAAATTTTCTTTCACCCCTATATATTTACGACAGATCTCTTGCAGGGTAGGTAGAGGTAGGTAGAGAAAACTGAACTAAACACGTTTTTCGCTTTCTTGACATTCATCAATCAATTCATACAGGCATGCCGGTTTTTAGGACTTCTGAGATCACCATCATAAAATACACGATCGATTTGATCCTGGAATATGAGTTTTAGCCTCGCCTGCTTCTTCATTTCATTTTCATGTTAATGTCAATTTGGTAATTCCTTCGTCCGACATTCTTTCCATGTGTTTTTCTTTTTTTCTTTCTCTGTAAATTTTATATATTATTACACTAGAAATGTATCTTGCTTGATTTATAACATATGATTTCATTAAAATGTCAATCAATTTAGTTGCTTTTTGCGGGATTTTACATTAATCACTTTGATTATTTAAAAATAAAATACCCAAGTATTAATATTTATTTTTTTCTACTTTCTCAACATTCAGGGTTATATAGCTAATAGGTTATTTTTTTTATCAGTTATCTAAAGTTTTACTAAATATGTATTCATATTTCGCTACAAACACAAACAATCATATTTTTTCACACATCCAGGTGTGTATTTGGCCAGCGATACCTTCGCCGAGATGACGCTAAAAGAAGAAGAGCAAAGGAAAGAAATACAAGAGCTGCTACTGAAAAAGAGAGCGATGGAAGAGGAGAGAGATCGTATGGAGAACGTGTTTTCCGACTTGAATCATAAATTGCAAGCGACTGGTAGTGAGCTAGACAGCACTAGGGCTCAACTACATAACACTAAGGCAAAACTAATCGACACCTCTAATGTGAGTATTATAAGTATGAGAGCCAAGTAATTGAGCGAGTCTGACATTTGTGGTTGAACCTGAGGTCTTAAAATGGCGACGCGTTTATGACGCCAGGCATTAACGTTGCGACAAAAATCGTCAACTTCATATGTAGTAATAAATAAAATACCAGTATAGAAAAAATAATTTTTCTTAACTCTTGATAAAGTCTTGTTAATACTAATAAAAAAAAATATATATAACACATATATAAGGTGTAGTGTTGTTATATGCCAGGACTTTGTGGGGTAGATGAGTTCAATATACTGAACAACTTTTGCTATGGGAGCAACACTGCATACCCCAAAAAAATATTTTTTCTGGAATTGTTAGTAGTTGGGAAATTATTTCATATTATTGGCGATTGTAGATATAACAATTTTCTATAAAACAGATGCCTTTTTTTTTCAAGAATTCCCTGGTACTCCTGTAGTAAAAGTTATTCAATATATTTTTAACTTATCCACCCACACATCCTATAACAATCCAATCCCAAAGTCGTGGCATATTATAATATTACGCCTTATATATAAAGTTGAAGGAATACTAAAAATATTTTAAATTTTCAGCTAAGCCATGAAATTGGTAGCTGAACCAATCCTATTCTTATTTAGCATCTGTTGTACTCTACAAACTAGTACATATTGATCTCAGAATCTACATAGATCTTACAGTCGCTGAACTAGCGCGTCTTATTTTATTATTATTGTTTTTCACGTGTAATACGTTGTTTTCGAGCTTCGCCGACTCGGTATCGTCTTTTGCCACACCCAGCTTTAGTTAGGGAGCTGGGTGTGGAACAGTGCCTGCCGGATCCCTTATCATTCCCCCAAAATTGAGGGTACTTCGGTGAGGGCTTAGTGGGTGTGCTATCCACGTTTTGACTAGGCTTCAAGCGGGTCCATGTGCATGGAGGGTCCACACATCCCCTGTCGCTCGTCAAGCGGCAGGGGACAGTATACAAAGCATTTCCCCTACTACAAAAAAAGCTTTAGTAATGCGTCGAACTTTCAGCTGCTTCGTACCAAAAATATGGAATGCGAGGAGCAAAAGTATCTGGTGGCTCATCAGCAGCAGACGGAGGAAAAGTTGGGTGCGCAAGCGCGACAGCTGGTAAATGCCGCTGATACCGCTTCCGCCCACGCCACAGCGCTGCATGACACCATCGCGCGACGACGGTAACCACACATTCACTAGTGATACATCCGTATCCATTATTTTAAGCCGATCTCGAACAGATCTTTTATATCATTAAACTTTCTTTAAACATATTATATCCATCTACCTGTTGTATAATGTAACTCTTTGCTTGTAAGCAATGTGTAATCCAAATTTTAATGTCCATAGACAGCTACACTTACTTGTTTACCCTGGTTACTCTGTCAATTATCTTTATAGTATGCTGGTTTTTGTGGTTTTCTAAGCATTAAAGATATTTATTTTAATAGACAGAAAGTATAAATAGAACAAAATATATGAAAAAATAATACTTAAATAGTATTATTTTAATATTTATTTGTAAACAAACTGTAGGTATTTCTATAAAATTTTGTCTAAAACCTTTGGGTAAAGTAAAGTTTTGATCTTAAAGGTAAAAAAAGTGTGTTTTTGCTGGCCCCAAAAACATTAAAATGTGTGCACTGGTCAACTTATGATGATGACGAAAGGGTAGACACAACGGGAGTGAAATTAAACAAAAACTATTCTATAAGGGTTTATAAATGAATTAAAAAAGAAATTGTCAGTATAAAAACAGACAAATCTTATAAAAGTCCAGCTGCCTGTCTTAATAGTTTTATTTACAAAAATAAGCTGCTTAACTGTTAGCCATTAGTACCAAATAAACCCTATTTTGTTTTGCTTAAGGTATTTATTTATGTATTACAGGAGCATAGAATCGGCTAACTTGGAAGTGACAAAGACGTTTCGTCGTGAGTCTGGTGCGCAACGTACTATGATATCGTCGTGTGTACAAAACTTCACTGACACTTTGCTGGAAACACTCGATTCACTACGCTCTGCGATAGGTATGAATTATATTACTAGTCGGAATATCATAGTAAATTAATTGTATTCAATAATTTTTACACATCGCTAATACTGATTTAGATCATATAGTAGAATGGAGCAAGTCCTTTGGTCTTAAAGTTAATCCTGCCAAGACTAATGCAATGATAGTAGGTAGCTCTAGGTTGACCTCCAAATTGGACTGGCATCTGTTACCTAAGATTAACTTTGATGGGACTGACATCCCTTATAGCGTATCAGTAAAAAACTTAGGTATAATCTTTGATAGTAGTTTGAGCTGGGGACCTCAATTGCAATATGTAAGTCGTAAACTGTATGCTTCTGCTGCGTCACTGAGGAGGTTGCGTAACTTTTTGCCGACTGCCACTAAACTTGCTCTAGCACAATCTTTGTTGCTTCCAATTCTTGATTACGCCGATGTCTGTTATCTCGATCTTACGGAAGACCAGCTTAATAAACTTGAGCGGCTCCAAAACTTCTGTATTCGGTTTATATTTGGATTGCGCAAATATGATCATATATCTCAATTTCGTACTCAGCTCAAGTGGCTTCCAATTCGTCTTCGCCGGAATGCTCATATATTATCCCTCCTTTACAATATTTTGTTTAACCCCCTTTATCCGCGCTATTTGAAAGAACGCTTCAATCCGCTATACTGCTGTACTTCATTTTCCTTGAGGTCATCGGAAAACCTGAAACTTGAAACCCCTCTCCATACAACTACTTTTTATGATGGCTCTTTCACTGTCCAAGCTGTGCGTCTTTGGAATGCTCTTCCGACTTCCATAAGACGCGCTCAATCATTAAATATTTTCAAAGAATTGGTAAAAGAACACTATTTATCTGTTTAATATATTTTAACTGCTAATAACCCCTTCTTCAATTCATTAGTATTTATATGTATCATATTTTATATATTTATGTATTATGTTATATGTATTTATGCAAGTATATTATATTTGTCAACTTCTGGTGTCTATTATTGTTATGTTTCAATGATTTATTTGGAATTACCTACTTTAAGTTTACACCCCCGTTTCGTTATAATTAACATTCCTATCCATCCAATGGTTGTCTGGCAGAAATCGCTTTCAGCGATAAGACCGCCATTTGTTACACTTTGATGTATTGTTTAGTTTGTAAAATCTGTGAAGATATCTGTTGTGTTGACAATAAAGTGTTATTATTATTATTATTATTATTATTATTAATAGATAATGAGACATTTGGCTTATGGAAAATTATTTAAAAAATCAATTGTTATGGCTTTGTTAAACAGCAACTGACAATATTTTTCTCTGAAGACACAATCTTCATTATCTTAATTTCTTTATAGATAACTTTACAACTAACACCACAGAAACTCACGAGCAAAGTAAGAACAAATTATTGGATTTAATTAAAAAAATCAATGAAACTATGAGTGAGGTAAGTTTGTCAATATGATATTTAATTACTGTATCTTTTATGGACTTTGTTTTGCAAACATGTTATATATGTATGTATTGATGTTCAATAATATAAATTCCTTAAAATTTCAAAATGTTAAAATAACTTACAACTATGTAGAATAGTTTCTTTTGACGTATTATATACATAGAGCTGTACATACTATATGTACAGCTCTATGTCTGAAAGAAAAAATAACCCTATATTTTGTAACTAACCCTGTATTATAGTGCTCTGTCTATCTCTGTCTACCGCCATGAGCATAGTAAATTTATTTGATATGAATATATTTTTTTAGATGAAATCTCTAAGTAATGCTACACACGATAAAGTGAATGGTGTGGTCGTAGAACATCGCACCGAATTTGATGCCTCCTTGTGTGCGTACAGTGAAGCGATATCCACTGCACTCGATGCTTCCATAAAGGCATTAACTTGTAGTTTACAACGCGTAAAGGAAACCGTCGAAAGGAAGGACGTCGATAATTTTGTACGAGAGTGGGTGAGTAATATTATATATTATTTAAAAAAAAAGGGTTACTGGAGTAAAATACTGGACTGTTTAATTAGTGCTAGATAAGACTATTTATTTTAGTGATATATTAACATAATATATTGAATATTAGTTTGTTATAATTCGTTTCTCCAATATTTACAGTATTCATTTCTTGGTAGTGTTTGGTTATGTGCAGTTCAAGTATGGCTTATAAGTCGACTTATATATTTTTTATATTGAAATAGATCTTCAATACTGTCAATTCAAGTTTGGGGAACTCTTTATTATTATTTTTTAATAATTTCAATTTTATTAATTATTACTAAGTTATATTGCATGAAATTATTTCTGTTGATAAACAAAGCTTTTGTTTATCGCCTGTTATCAAAATGACGATTCGTTTGTTATTGAACGTCCCAAAATAAAATCTTTGAAAGAAATTAAAATAATAGGCTCTTTAAAACTGCGATATATCCTCTGTCTCATAAGTTTGCTGATCCCTAGCCTAGACCCTTCCTTGACCTAATAAATAGCATTTGAATATATGACTGATTTTTGTTTCAGTCCATCAGGTAGATTATTGAAAAATATTTAATACTTATTTTGAAAACTTGTGTAATCAATAAATTACAGTGATATATTAAATTGAAATGTCGCATGACATCACACCTTTGTACATTTTCTACATAGTTGTGACGCAGCAAGCCCACCCTCCTCAACTTTATGCCTATTATCTTTGCCATTTATCGTTATATTGAAGCAAAAAACAATATGAATTTAATATTGTTCTATTTTATCTGACAGTCGTCGTCAATATTGTTATTTATATGATATGGTATCGTGTTGGTACAGTACACGTGTATGTTCGCGCGCGTCATGTCGCTGAGTGGTGTACAATCGCGCATGATGGAAACAGCGCGGCATGAGGAGGCGCGCGTGCGTGATGCCGCGCGTCAACACGCACACGCACGCACGGAGCGCGCACGCACACACGCGCAACGTGCCGCCGCACGCCTACATGTATGTATTAGTTTTCAAAGCCATCTTGTTTACGTCCACAAATTTTATAAAGACCGGCGATGCGAAATATACGCAAGCACGGCTTACTAGCCACGACTGGCGAGTTGCCACTCGTGCTTTGAACTCCTATAACTTCGATATTTTTTGTGTGTGCGTGGGACGACGCATACGCACGGGCACGCTCACATAAAAACCGTTTTCGGTGCGTATGTATGAAGAGCACTTACTCTTTATACTCTGACTATAGTCTTTTTCACGTAGCGTGGGTATGGTGATGTTTGGGATTTGAAGTTTCAGTGATGTGGTAATAAATATATATATAAAGAACTCGATATTATTGAGTTCATTACTAAGAGAGATAATTGATTTCAGAAAAACAACATTTTACTAAAGTTATGTTTAATTGTTACGGCAACAATAATAAAAAAAATATCAAATTATTACTGAATATATATATATTTTGATTAAAACGATTTTATTGATACAATTCCTATTTAAAAAAAGTCCAGATTTTCGTGACAAATAATGGTGTTTTAAACTTGAGAGGGTTAGATTACTGAAATCTAATTATAACTATAATAAGCATCTTATTTAAACATACACAAACTGTTTTTCACAATGATGGTTTTCAATTATTTGGAAATACAAATTGCGTGAAATGGATTTGTTAACTAATGTCAACGTACCCGTGATATGTGAAACAGACTATAACTTGTTTTATTTTAGATTTCCATCCTCCAAAAGGAACAATTGGAACCTTTATTGTATAAAGAAATGTTTTAGGTATTACCATGTTTGAAGTTATATCTATATTATTTGGAGATTGACGTTTTTTTTTTCAAATTAGCTCCCTACTTCAAATCTGAGCAATTGATGTGGTTTTATTTAATATTTATTGATTAAAATTCTGTATTTGTTTGTCTCAGTTCTAAAACTACTGAACTGAGTAAGCAGAAATTGAGTTTATATTCACAAATCAGGGATTCCAAGTCTATGATTTAAACATTACGGCTTATGCATGGTAAAATAGAAAATTTTAAAAATTAAACTATTTTCGCTTGACTACATTAAATTCTCTTCAATTATTCCTATATCATTAAATGACAATAGTGATTTTTGATAAAAATCTTTCTGATCTGTGATAAATTTTTTTCTTTGCATTTATATGAATTAATAAAATACCTAATTACTATAAATATATCAGTTTTATTTTGTAAAATAAGTACTTACCACGAATCCGACGCATAGACAACTTTCCTTAGGGATTACACACAAACATCCGTATTTGCTTTCATATATTATCTGACTAATATTGCTTGGAAATTGGATTATTTTACACTTAACCCAGTAAACATACAAATAATTCACCAACAGCAAATAGAAGAAGAAAAAACTGAAATACAAAATCGCCTTACGAAACAACGTTGTGAGATTGAAAAAGAGAGAGAGACGACAGAAAACCGTCTACGATTGTGGGCCGAGGAAGAGAGACGGCTACTGGAAGAGAGACTCGCTAGACACATAGCTACAGAGAAACAGGTAATATAACTATATAGATATAACTATTAGTCAGAGAAGTAAAGTCAGTTTTCCTTCAGTTATAAAGAGAGAGAATTACGATAAAGTACCTATCCCTCTTAACAGCCAGCCAACTTAATCAACAACACAAATAGAATTAAGTGTTGTTGATTAAGTCAGTGTTTCAGTGCAGTAAATCGGAGCTTCTCTAACTTAACCTATTTCTCTTCTCTCGTGTATCCGAGTTAACGTGGAATGAGAGCATAGCAGAAGTTATTTATACTTATTCCTATTTATTTATCCCCATTTACTGTACATGCGCCACTAGAGCGAGTCAGGTAGGATACCGCAGTATTATTTTTTTTTCTAGCTGGAGGACATTTCCACTTACAGGTAGTCGTATTTCTTGGCTACTATACACTATCTCTATGAATAATAACTGTCAATATAGTGTCACATATATGTGATCAGTAACTATGTAGAGTCGACACTACATCAAGTTTTGGTTATCTAATACGCCACCGTATGTGTCTGTTCTGTTTGCATATATATATTAATTTTAATATAACTGTAAATCTATAGATAATCTGTCTTGTCGGTTGTCCTATTTCAAATAAATCAATTATATCGTGATTCAAAATTCATTTGGAAATCAACATTAGGAAAATAAAACAAAAATTTTTCCTATTGATAAAATTCCCCAATTCATGAAAGCAATATTAAAATACATTCTAACATCTTAGGTGTTAGAAGAGAGATTGAATGAGAAGATGAAGCAAATAGAAGATGAACAGAAACTTCTAGAAGACAGGATAACTAGACATATAGAGTGGCAACAGCAGCAACTGCAATCTTGCAATGAAGAATTGGAGATGGCGAATAAAGATCTAGAGGAATATGAGACTATGATGAAGGAGACTAGCGCACACTTTACTAAATACGACAAGGAGTTTGAAGAAGGTAAGTAAATGATAGTGACATGTTATCAATATATACAGAAAGACATACCACCTATAGGAATAGATAGTGAATTTATACAAATGAATAAATTTATTGTATAATATACTATTATCGATTACCATACTTTCACGCTCACATTAATTTTTACCTTAATTCTCTAAGTTCTGATATGAGTAGAGGGACGTGTCGTCATAGCCACGTCATGGAAGGTAGCGTTTTCGTAAGATATTTTGAAAATAAATTTGTTTTAAGATTTTAACTTAATGGATGAATTATATATACTTCTTATATTTTTTTTAGATATTTTTTTTCTATAAAATAAAAACATTAAAAAAAATTGTCTACACCCCTATGTATTATATATATTTATTATTTATTGCAATATATTATTGTATTGTTTTTTGTGTCAGGCTCGACGGCAGTGAGTACCGAGCTGGAGGTTTTACCTCGCAGCGTGACTGACATTACCGAGCACGGGCGCATCACAATATTACACGCTATACAAGACGCGCTGCTGAACGCACAGGTATAAATTACCAGTTAGGGCGCTTGTGCACTACACTGAATTTTCATGTCCGGCGGTCCGATTTTTTCAAGTCCGATATGTCAGGCCATATGTAGGAAATGCGCGCTTGTGCACTGTCAGGAATTTTACCGTCCGGAATTTTCCTTTTCTCTATTCCGGACCGGTTTTTTCAGGTCCGTGATGGCGGCAATGAAAAACGTGTTTACGCTTGTGCACTGCTGTGTCCGAGATCCGGAAAATTCATAAGGAATAGGCTTGGGAAAAAATAATCGATTTGAATCGATATTTATTTCGGCAATATTGTTAATTTCCAATAAACTTATAATCGATATTTATTGTTGATTATAAAATGCTATATTTTATATGATGATTTAATATAGTTGGTATATATCACTGCATAAGCTTTGGCAAACTCGGTATAGTTCTAATTTGATCAGCGTATGGTTCTAGTATCGATACTTAGCTAGATTTTAGAATCGTATTAAAAGTATCGATAGCTTAAGGTAAGATAAATAAGTGTTGTTACGCTTAGACGCCTAAACAACTGAACCCATCTAAATGGAAATTAATATAGTAAATAGACTTAACTTTAAGAATGGACATAGGCTACATTTTATCGCGATAAATAGGGGATGAAAGTTTGCCTGGAAATTTGTCATTATCAATTTTTTTTTAGACAATTGATAAGTATAAATAAATATTTGACAACAGAAGTAATAATAAAGAATAAACAGAAGATTAACAAAAGTAATTAAGTGACACTCAATGTCTTTTTCGCATTTAATAAAATTTTAAATGTATGTTTGTGTCATTAATAAAAAAAAAAAAAAAGAAGTATTCTAAGGGAATAAAATTTCTGCTCATAGAAACTACACCACGCGTATAAAATTATGCCTATATATAATACAGTCAACTGATCTCGTAAAGTTCATTTAGCATAATAATTCTCCGCTAACACGGCACTAATTTCGATTTGTTTACGAAATAGCGCCACCGATTGGTCTATCTCTGTAATCGCTGAAAGTTGTTTTTACAAAACTTCGAAAAAAAAATAGCACGTTTAAAAATTTAAACATCAAGTACTAGACTATTATCAGTAATTTTATTCTAATGTCACAGATATTTTTAGCTATTGTATGTGAATAATGCTGTTCCTTAATTAGTTTTTAACAGGGTATAAGTTTTTACATCTGATAGTAGTCATCCGATAGTAGTAAAAAAATGCTTTCGTCTTGCTATAATTTATTATGGTTTATGTAAAACGATCAGATCATTATTTAGGTAATTTTCTGCGTCTTCGAACGGAATTTCCGACGTTCCGAAAATCTCATCGTATCTAGCGTAAGTGACGTGTAGCTTCAAAGAGAGCTGCCCTACACTGCGCCGCTCCGATCAGGAAAAAAACGGACAAGTGCACAAGCTACTCATCCGAGTTTTTCATGTCATTTCGGAACGGAAAAAATCGGACCGCCGGACCTGAAAATTCAGTGTAGTGCACAAGCGCTCTTAAAGCCCCCCGTTCATCTCGTATAGGATGACGGTTGAAAATTGCAGCTTCCTCTGCATTAGGTCCTATTTTTAAGGTCGTATGAAATTACCACTTTAATTTAAAGGCTATGCTAATATTTGCCAAATAAAATTCATTTTATTAAAAATTTATCAAATGATTGATTGCTTGCTAAAAACATAAACATAAATTTCAATAATTACTCCATTGAAAAAATTAAAAGATGAATAGAAGAAAGGTAAATACGTTTTTGGATCATCTTTACATCAAAGATGTATGAAATTAGGGGGGCACGTCTTTACTGTCTATACCAATTTAAATGGGAACGTAAGCAGAGGTCATAGGTACAAGAGGGGCTAATTGCTGCACACAAGACCAGTGCGTGCGAAGGATGTACCAATGCCAACCGATTATAATTGGCTGCTTTGCTGTTTTGGGAAAAGTATTTTAATAAAACTTTGATATGATCATATTAAAACTGTCCGATTTATTTTTCTATAAAAAGTGTTATTGAATAAAGAGAGAAAAAAAAATTTTTTATTCATTAATTAAAATTGTCACGAAAAATGACAAAATCAGTCACGTGACATTTCAAACCTTGACGTCACATTTCAATTAACAAGTGTACTGGTTGCATTCGTAATTAAAGACGTTCACGTTTAGTTCATTGAAATGTAATGTTTTAATCGTTACACGGCGCTTTCGAGCTACGATGGGCTTATAACTTTGTATGAGACAGAATTTTTAGGATAAAATTTATCGCAAATTAATTTGTAAAACTCGGAAACAACATCTCAACACACTTTTATTATATAAAACTTTAGTATCTTCTGATACTATTATATTTATTCTAAAATCAGAGCTTTAATAATTTATCAAAGATGTCCGAAATGCATCAATTGGGTGGATAGATATACATCTGTTTGCAACGAGAAACTGATACTATAATAAGTTAAATAAGTAATTTAGAAATGCTGTTTTATTTTTATCAGCAAGAAGCCAATGAGCTGATAGTCGGCTCAACCACCACAAGACAACAGTTGACTTCCACCACACACAGACTCTTGGACGATATCGTCGGCTGCAATAAACAAGCATTAGATCAAATTTATAGCTGTTTAGAGGTAATCTATACATACTCTATTATTATGACTCACTGTTATCCTCGATTTTGCCTTAGTGATACAGAGAACCAGACGTTTTTTCTTATTAAAAAGTAACCTATGTCACTCTTTAGCTTTCCAACTACCTCCATTCATATGGTATAAACATATATTATGATTATGATTTCATAATCATAATATATGTTTATTTGTCAAATTATAGTATGGATTTAAGACGGTATTTTCTAAATATATATTTTTAATAACTAATATCTCTTTCTTTATACCAGTGATCAGAGAAGGTAGATTGTATCGGGGTTCAATGACCCTGAACCAAGTCTTACAACAACGAAAACATTATTATCGACATTGTTTCGGAGTTAATATTAAGATTCTTTCTCTTCAACTTACATAGGACATGTTTAAAAATTAAAGCAAAAGCTTTACAAAAAGTTTTGTGTTTCAAAGAATGAAATAGGATATTATAGCTACAGTCTAAATAGCAGTAGGAAAATAAATTTAAATACCCTGTTTTGAATCGTAAACAATAATATTACTACCAAATGAGCAGTTGAATCTGGAAATAGTTTCTAGTAAAATGTCTTATCCATGTTATCTTTTATTAAAGCAAGCGGGCTACTAGATGAGTTACTTTCCTTAGTTATTATAATTTCCTCCAGACAAAGATTGGGCGATAATGCTACCTTAGCAATAACCATCTTTTGTGTACATGTTACAATTTTATTATTTAGTATATTAATTCATTATTTGTTATGTTAACACTATATTAACATTTCAATATATATACAGACTAGCAACTATAATTACATTATTTTAACTAATTAAAATATGTGGAGAACTATTTTCTGATTTTTTTTTTTATTAAGATTTAATTCAGAAATACCATTTAAATATATATTTTTTTTAAATCTATCGACTGTTATAGTGTTTCGTCATTCCATATTACTGTGCTTAAACTAAATCTTGTAATCTAGCTGTTAACGTGAGTATTGTCTGTGGTTTAGTGTAACAACGCGGTGACAATAGAGGAATTGTCTCACCTATCTGGTTCCATCACGTCGCTGATCTGTTCGTGTAATGACCACTCGCGGTCACAGAACACTTTCGCCGTTACTTTGCAACAACACGCGCGCGGTCTTAACACGGCTGTAGGAGAAGCTGTAGAAGAACATGAGCGATTGGAGAACAAGTATTTGAACGACGAGTACAGAATGTACTCGCCCACTGGTAACTGAACATAATGATTTGAGCAATTTTTTGCCTTATTTGATAAGAATGTGTTACAAAAGATTATCGGCCGGTTTCTGAATTGAGAAGAGTACAAAATCTTAACTCAATATTCTCAATAACTTGAGTTTTTTACTTATCACAAGGCAAAACGTTCTAGTTTTTATCAAATCGCTATTAACTGATCATTAAAAAAAAAATCAGAAATGAAAACCTGTTTAAGTGACATTTAAAACAGTTTGAGAAGTGCTTGTCTTTAAATGCTCAATTCAGAAACCGGGTGTATGTCATAATCTATTTAAAGTTAAATTAAAAATTTTATTTAAAATATTGACGAAAAATCTTTATTTGAATTATTAACTTAAAATTATAAACATTATATAGTTTAAAATTCATCATACATATTTTGTTAGTTTGCCAACATGCTATAATAATTTCATCTTATTAATATAAGTGTCAAATATATAATTGAAAATGTTATTTGTATGAAACAGGTAGTACTCCGGCTCGTGTACAGTACAAATATCCTCGTGTGCTGGCCGCCACTTCACCACATGAGCGAATACTGGCCAGATATAGACAGACACGCCAACACGACATAAGTGTTAGTATTACACCATGTTACAATCAAATAAACAACGACAATCAATGACAATGACAATCAAATAAATATGACTGTATATATTGCTTATTTTTTTTTAACATAACTAAAATATTTAATTTTCTGTGTTAGCTTTTAGTCTCTGTATAACTTGTTCGTCTGTAACTTGATTTTTTATTATGGGAAGACCCAGTTTTTTTGATTTTTATTTAAAAATACCACCACTATTTGTATACAGGACGTGGTAGTGATAGAATCAGACGGCGAGACAGTTCCCGGCAGCGAATCCGAGAGCTCGTCTGAAAATCTGACCTTCATTACACCCTCACCGCCCGCGAACATTACAACCACGCCGCTTATATGCAAGTCAACGTCAGAGACTGACATATACGTTAGACGAGTAAGTGTTTACATATACTAACCATCCTATTTCATAACATAGGGTAGGCATAGAAGACAGCTCCATAAAGCACGGACTTTACATATGTCTATCAGTTTCTTGATATAACTCTTTTCACATGTCTGTTTTCCTTTAATAGTAATGATATCTTCTTACTCTTAGAATGTGTTGCTTTATAAAGATATCTGACATCCAACCTCAAACATCTAGACCAGAATATTTTCTTAAAATTAAATTGTCACAGCATCTTACGTTATTTTCTAATCACTGGGTTAAAAAGTCAGCTTTTTCTTAGCGAATCTCGATATCATAATAATATTAGTGTGCCAAATTTAAACTCGATCCGGCTAATAGTAGTATTTATATAGATTGTTTATATTTTTTTTAGTTTTTTAACAGTAAAAACTATCTATTCCATTATAGAAATTACTTTTATATCTTTATGTTTTCTTTTATACAGAAGCAGCAAGATAAAGAAATTACAGGCAAAGAAAATCCAGATCGCTCGTTAAGCAATCGCAAACGTTCAAAGCTACCAGCTCCTTCATCACACAAGAAACCGCTCGTCGAACGAAACGGGACTGTCAACTGACGTAATTATACATACGCGCTAGACATGTATTTAATCAAACACAGCAGTAAAATAATACCTGATTCATATACATGTCGAGCCGTGACGTCACAATTCAATAAACATGAGTACTGGTTGCACTCGCAACGAAGACGTTGACGATTAGTTTTTGAGGTGTGACGTAACACGATGCTTTGCACGGCGATCGGTCACAGATTATAAATCGCAAGATAATTTGTCAAAAATAAACTATACTTTACTTGTAATTCGTAATGGTTGTCAACGAGGGATGGAAATATTTAATAATGAATCTAGTTCTATAAAAATACATTCAAAAGATTTTTTTTGTTAAATAGTATGTGCTGAATTATAAGAAATAGCTAGTGTCAATAATCAGCTATTTTAAAACTCATTTTGATACGGAAGTAATCTCGTATGAGAGTAAAAAATATTATAAAATCCTTACATTCAAACTGTTGAAAAGAGGTATCTTGTCGATTTTTTAAATTAATAGTCTCGATAGATTATTACTTTTTAATTAATCGCATTAAGTTAGATTATTAAAATTGCACGCAGATTTATTAGCCGAAAGTTGTATAATAAATAAACTTTGAAAGCTATTTATTATTTTAATATAAAATTAGCTGTTCATAAAATAATAATAGGTTTATTTTGACGTATTTGACATTACATATTGATAGAAACCTTTATTTTATTTTATGTGAATGAGTGCAAAACAATGTGTAATGTAATATACACTGATAGTTATGATTTAAATGCGTGATACTGCTGCGTTTATTTGTGTGATGAAAACATCAGAACTGGGTTATCTTTGTCTTATTATATTGTCTTCGAAGTTTTTTTACAAAAAATACAGTAAATATGACTATAAAAAATAATTCTAAGTATGTATTAATTCATTTCAAATATTACTATTATTTTAGATTTTAGTAATTTAATTAGGATGTTTGTTTTACTATGACAATTATAGTAATTAAAATATTTTGAGTAAGAGATTTAGTTTTGGTTATAATTATAATAGAAATATTCATTTATATGTTGAAGCATGTAAATTATAAAAATAAATACCTATACATATTAAAAAAAAATCTTGGAGTGTTCAAAAAGACAAAATTGAAAAAAAAATATTTATTTTAACCTTAGTAACTGTTATTTCTTTCACTTTATATTTAATGTTAGCTTTCCAACAGCGGCTTTGCTCGCGTTGTCCTGTATTATATGTAAATGAAAAACTTTCCTTTTGAATCAAAAAAGACCGCATCAAAATCCGACACTATGTTATTTGAATATTATTTTAAAATAAGCTTCAGCATTATTATTATGCCTAATAAACAATAGGACATATTTATGTATGCGTTACATTACGGAAGTCCATTGCGATAACTCTCAAATTACATTAAATAGCAAGTTCCACCACCAACTAGTAAGTTCCAATTTTCCAAATTCTTTTCCTTGCCTTTATTGTAATGTAACAGCATATTTTTGTTATGAGATTTAAATCATAATAAAGAAGCCTTTCAATTGTCGAGTTAGGGAGTTACCGCATGTATATATGAGTAGAATTGATAACGTTTTGAAAATATGACATTGTTTACTTTTTCATATAGATATTTCAACTAATAGGACGTTTTACTGCAACTTTAGCCAGATTGCAGCACATGCACATTTAGTAAACAGTTTTTAATAAACCTCATTTATAGAGTAGTGAATTAAGAGTATGCATGCATGGGAAAGCGAACCAACGAAAAAACTTGTGATCATGATAAAATTAAGTTGAAAATAGCTTTCTATCCCATAATAATGCAATTGAACTTAGCTATAAGAGGAAATGTGATAACGAATCCACATTTGTTTCTTATTTATCGAGGTTGTCACAAAATAATTCAGATGCAGCGATCCAATCGTTAGAAGGATACGTTTTTCGCAGTACTTTTATAAAACCACGAGATTAATGTGCATATTTTTTATGTGATTAACAATACACATGATTTAACTCAATCTAATTAGTTTTCATTATTATTTACCTGTTAAATGTTTTCGTCACCTCCCTTGCAACCAATTTTATTGTTTTAATACACACGAACAATATTTTATTACAACTTTCAATTTTTTATAGGAATTATATTTTAAAAATGTTAATAATAATTTCATATTTGTTTTATCAAATATAAATATACAATTTATATAACAAAACACATTTTCAAAATCATATCACTATATCTTATTTAAATAAACTCGTTTCTATCGATAAAATGTTGATAAGGAACGTCATTAAGATAAAAATAGTAAATCCATGGATTTGCTAAAACTTGCGACAACCTACATAAATTGAGACATGACTGATCAGATAATATTTATAATATAATGTTTAATATTAATATTACACATCTCTTTCTAACACATTATGACGGATCATTAGGAAAAAAGTTTCTTCATTTTAGTTACTATTCTAAGATGTTAAGTAGGTATGTGATTTAGTTCGACGAAATAGTAGCGTCCTTATCAGAACTATTTCGCAGGCAACTGAAAAAAACATCGTTACACAGTCGTTTCGGATTCGCAATAGTTTCGCTGATGTTTCGCTTTCGCAAGCGAAGGCATCGGTGTACTAAAGGCGTCAAAGTATACATTTTTATTTTTTATAATTCTATCAGGTAATGGCAACTGTAATAATTTCATGAGCGAACGGTCTTGTAAGGTTAACCGTGTTTCTTCATAATAGTTTTTGTATATTAAATGAAATCTAACCTTTATGTATTGGATATACGTTACTGAATATAGACTTTATTCTTAAATATTGCTTTTTTATTTTCTTCGTTATATTATTTATCTAAATAATTATCATTAAAAATGTAAGTGTACTCTTAATATACGGCATTCCGGGTCTCATCCCCAGGGGAGGGTACACCGTAGGGGTTTTTGTGGGTAGGCCTTCGGGAGCCCACCGCGCGGCTAGCCACGGGGTGGGCTCACGAAGGAGAGTCCCACACACCCCCTGTCGCTTGCCGGGCGGCAGGGTAGTGCCTAATGCATTTCCACGACGTTAAAAAAAAGGGGTGTAATATATCACGAGTATTTATTTTTTCCTCAAAGATGGAATTACTAAACCGAAAAGCGGCGTATAAATTTAGGATTTTTTGTAGGTACTAAAAATACATGTGATTTGGGTGGAGGGGGAGGGTTAGTCTTAAACCTCACCATGGGGAGGAGTTTATAAAATTCTGTAAAAAACATAACGTGATTAATGCTCGCTCACAGCCGGCGGCAGACGATCAGTTGGGTTTAAATGTAGATTTCAAAACATAATCTGAAATGTTGCTGTTTGCACAGAAAACACAACTAATATCGCCTCTCATGAATATATAATTAATCTTTGTTTTATTGCACATAGGCGTAAAATACAACGCATTAGGATCACCATCTCGGTCGTGCTTGGCGGTGGTCAGGCACTTTGATAGGTCGACATTGGACATTCTTTGAAATGTATTCATCTACGTAGATATATCGAAGAACCGTGATAGTTGTTTACTAAAATGAACCTATGAAGGTAATATAAAAAACACCAATAATACATCGTATAGTTTATTAGCAGAGAAGATTACATCACGTTGTATCGCTAGTCTTTTGTAGGAGCTTATATCATAACTACAAAAATATAAACCACGCTTAATTATGTTGCTATTACAAAGTGAGTATTTATTTATATGACTTATCCACGTGGTACATAGATGTTGTAGTCGTTAATTCTTGAATATATATTCTTTATAGGGTATAAATCAACACCCACTGATGCAAGAGACTAAGGGTTACATCATAACTTATCTTTAATACATTTTTATTTCAATGTTGAATTTATTTCAGAAAAAATATTTTTTTACCATACATTAAGCCAGCAAGCAAGTTCTGCTAATATTTGTACTTTACATCTACTATCTATAGTACAATGGTAAAATGAAAATCATTGCAATGCCATTGAGATGCTATTATTACATAAATATTAGCAGAATAGGCCTGCAGGCTAGGCTGTGGGGCTCCTGAATGCATCTTTGAACCTTAACCTATTTGAGGTTCACAATCGGTTTAAATTAGCCATACCGTTCTTAACACTGCACCCAGAAGTGTTAGCCACATTAACCATAGAGGTATTATACAAGAATACGGAAGACATGGCTGCCTGCAAGTGAACATGTAACGCTGTTAAAAAGGGACGCAAGATCGCGATAACCAATCAGTTTCTTTTTATTCGCATGTTTTTTAAATAAGATCATTAAGCAGCGAAATTTTATATGAAATCAGATAAATTTGATAGCACGATTTTTTTTCTCGCTAGTAACATCTTGAGGTTATTGTATAGTTTCGTCTCTGCCCTAGTGGGTCTCTAATCCTAATTGACAATATGACACCCTTTGTCATTAATATTTTCGCATATATCTGTTTTTTAATTAAGAAATTTCTACAATTATCATTTATTGAAACATGACCAAATTTACATCTTACTTACATATTTTCACTTATATATTTTTTAATCAGATAACGTTCAAGGACGTTTTATTTTTAAGCTCCTTAATATGAAAATCTATTCTCGACTATGGCTCAAAAAATCATTGTTAAGAAATCATAAGTAAATTAAATACATATCAAGACATAGCCCTTTCATTTTTTCTTAAAATTATCATACATTACTAATAAATAGTTGACGTATGTAATAATTATTTTAAATATATAAAAATAATTGTTTGGTTTTTCGTTCTAAAACTATGAACTGCTTCTAATATCTAGTAATAAATGCAAACCTATTTAAAAGTTATGAAGATATGAGAATAAATTGGTGCTTCTTAATAAGCATACAAAATTTTCTTCAATATATATATATATGCAGATTGTAAAATATAACAAAATAAATTAGAAAAACGTGAATAGGTTTTGACTTTCATAAATAAATAAAAAGAAATAAAAAATGTTACACAAGTAAAAGACTTAGTAGTAACTCGAACAAAAAAAATGATAATAAAAAAACAGAAACTGTAATCTGTGTTTAAAAAACAAAATGGTGGGAAAGTAGGTTTTAATCTTAAATGCCTTCGATAAATAAAATTTTAAAACTAATACAAATAAATTAACTTAAAAACTAAAGAAAGAACTTTTATTTATTTACAATCCCTATTTTAAAATAAGTTTATTTCAAAGTATAAATAACTTACAGAACACTGCGTATCCAAAACGATACGAATTTTATGATGTTATAGTTATAGAAACACTTATAAGCTAAGTTATATTCTGCAGATAGGTTTAAAACATTTATTATACAGCCAACAGCAAATCAAGTAAAAAAAACTGCTAGATTCTTCCAGTTGATTACAACTTATGTAAAAAATATTAAATGTTTCTTGTATTTTTTCACAACTTGACTTACCGCACTTCATATAGCACCTATAAATACGTTTTATTAAGCCTTATTTTACTGAACGATTTTATAACAGTATTTTACAATTTCAAACTGATCTCTTATGTTATTATAAAGTCCATTAATTATTGGTGTCATTTGTAGGTAAAATAATCAACTTGGTGTTGTGATAGCACATTTATTGCGCTCCCTTGATAATATCAAAAAGTATAGTTGCATATAGAAAATTCGCATTTAGATTTCGGAATTCGATTTGTAGTTGTTTAAAATTATTTGGTTTTATTACAATAGATTTTTTGCTTTTACATTTGCAATCATGCTAAATTGAACTATTTACTCAGGAATAGAGCATAGATTCATGACCGGGAGTACTAATTCTAGGAAACCAGCTAAGGTACTCCGAGTTTTAGAAGGCGCCTCATTAAATGCGTATAGTAAGAATCGTAATAATATTTGAAAATTTATATAGTCTCATATTATGTCTCGCAGCAATGCCTGCACCTAAGTGATAAAATATTGTGTTTTTATTCATGAGCTTTATGGTTATCGAAATTATGTGATTTCAAATTTGCTTGAATATGCAAATCATATATCATATGTTGGCAGACTCATATTAAACATAATGTACCTTTGTACATAGAGATATATGTACAATCGAGGAAATCTGTGTTCTGTCAACGTTTAAGTGATTATCGTTCACCCCGATTACTGCAGTTCGAAGATACTTTTCACTGAACGACAACTGTTCAACGAGTTTTGTATAAAAGTCAATTAATATAAATTTCCTCGATTTCAATAGGAAAAATATGTACAATAAAGTTTGACAACGAGTCTAGAACTATAGGTTGTTGACCGATATAATCTGGTTAATCCAACCTATGAAGGAGGAGACCTTCACGTAAACGCCGGGCACATCACGGCGGCCGCAGCCGAAGCCCCAAGACACGAGCCCCACTAACTCGTAGAACCCGTCGTCCTGGCATACAAGCGGACCTCCACCGTCGCCCTGTAACACACATCACTCATTAGATTTCTTTTATTACACGCTCGCCGGTTTTGTGTTCTGACATTCCTTGCAACACAGGCCCAGAATTGCCCCAGGCGTCATTGTTAGGGGAGCGCCAAAATTGACATTATTTATTACCTATTTATAGCTATAAAACGATCTTTACTTATATCTTAATATACATAAGGCTATGATGGGACGGATGCTTTAAAATCCCTAAATAAATTAAAGGAAAAATAGCATACACTACAAATATATGATAATATGAATCCGGCTTCACGGAGCTTAAAGGAAGGGAGCCATACGAAGTTTCTGTAAAAGTCGTAGATCCGGGTCTGTTCCAAAAGCTCGCGATCGATTTGATCGTGAAATCTGTGTCTTAGCCTTCCGCAACTTCTACATTCTTCCACATTCGCATTGTATATTCTCCGATATATTCTATTCTAACCTGGCACGCATCGTTCCCCTCCTCGCCTCCTGCGCAGAACGAGCTGGCGGGCAAGATGAATATCTTCTCGGTGACAGCGTTCACTTTGCGGATACACTCTGCATCACTCACTATCGGCAACTCCGCCTCCCGCACGCGTAGAGGTATCGGACCAGCTGTCATAACAATACAAACGAATTATTTCAAACGAAACAGTTTTTGCCTAAGTTGGTTTAATATTTGTAAGGATCGATTGATGGTACTTATTTGTTATAGTAGTGTATGTACTATTTTTGCCCGGAACGGGAACGTAATAAGCTAGTTGATGTGCTGTACTGTATTTCAGACGTATGATCTAGCGATTATGACATATACAATCTCCACAATTGCTAGAAATATTTCTCATTGTGCGAAAAATTTTCAGTGGAATTTTATCCTCAATTCTACGCGATTGATAATATGGATACCATTTCTTTTATTTATGTAAATGTTGTTGTAAAGTTTTTGGTCATTAATCAAGTCAATAAGGTATTCTACTCTATTTGAAATAATACTTTTTAGTGTTTATTTTAATTAAAAAAAGCCATAAAACATATTTCGGAAAAATAAACACCTTATAATTAGATAAAAAAAATTATACCCACAAAAAACCGTCAGTCCGTCATATTTATGATGTCATTGTGAAATGGTCACAAAACAGATGCATAGAGTAGAATAGTTAAGGCTGTAAATAAAACAAAACCAATGCAATCTAATGATTAATTACGCATTAAAAAGATATAAATAAGATAACAACAGCGCCATTTAGGTATTTGATGTATAATTAATAGGCAATCTTAATGACCAATCTGACAGCTATCGCCACAATGACGTTACAAAAAGGCGGATCATGTTTCAGGTCACGTGACAAAAAGACAAAAATCTCTATGTTTATTACGACGTAAATTTTAGTTTTTATGCAATGTCGTGATTTATTTTTCACTACCAAAACTACCCTATTAAGGTTGTGTAAAGTATTAGGTATGTAGAACAGTATTACTAACTTTCGCCCATATATCCGTATCCAGTGACAGTGCACCGCTTGCCCGCTGCGTGACTCACGCCACGCGCCGGCAGACATACCAGGCACACTCCTGAAAATATCAGTACCATGACATATATCGTATCTCTCTAAATATTACTGATATACGTATTAAACTAAAAAAATAAATACATTATAATATTTGGGTAATTTCGCATTAACAATGCTACACTGAAAAATATTCTCATTGAAAAATTATTAAAAAATCCACTTCTTTTACTGCGACCACCAAATCCATTTCAATCCGGGAGACTGCTCTAACCACTGACCTCCCAGGACCTACCAGGACTGATGAATCTTTCAAGCACTTGTTACTTTTTCGCTACTACAGAGCGTATTTGCCAGGGACCGAGTGGATTTTTTAAGCATTTTTCATTTGGAAAAGATATACAATTATATTTATGCTGCTATCCTATTTTAAGATTTTTTGTGCATTGGCTGAATAATAATTTTGAAAATACCGGAAAATGCATATCCATTTGGTTAAGTCGCTACATAAACATTAGAGGCCGACCTAAGGAACGCCTTTGGTTCTTTGCCTCCAAATAATCAAAAATAGGAGGCGACGAAATTAAAGTATTGTCTATTCACCATCATCACCATCATATTAATGACCCGTCGGGGTACGCCGGGCCCTACCTTATGGATGAAATCAAAAGGAATAGGTAATTTGTGTAGTGTAAAAGAAAGAATTTATACCCGTTTTCCCTAAACTTAGGAGTCGCCTAAATCTGTCGCTTAAATATTTAAGAATCGCCGAAGGTAAAAATGAATTTAACCATTGACTTTCAACACCTAACGAAATTGACCAAAGTTTAAAGTTATGGTATTCGTTTGCGTGTACGACAGCTCATAAATATGTCAAGGGATAAAACAAAAAAAAAATTGTGAAACCAACCTTCCTTGAGCTCCGCTTTGCCCAGCAGTTTGAGAAGCGCTATATCGTTGTCGAGGGTCTGGCTGTTGTGGTTGTGGTGTATGTAGGTGGTAGCGACGCGCAGAGTTTGTGCGCCAGGCGAGCCGTACTTCCTGGTCAGGTCGTGATCACCCACACGAACAAATATTGGCTCACCGGAACGGACGATGCTGTCATATAACAAACATTAAACTTTATGGCAAATACTATTTATATAAATTATTATTATTATTTTATATTTATGCTACCCAACACAGTTTTATTATTAACGAGTTGTTTTCCCGTGACTTCGCCCGCGCAAATTAGAGACTAATTCAAATCCTATTTATGATGTAGAACCCGTAGGTGAAAGAATTTTTAAAATCGGTCCAGTAGTTTCGGAGCTTATTCGCTGTAAACAAACAATCAAATTTTTGATTTTTATAGTATAGTATATAGACTAACTGGCCCGGTAGACTTCGTTTGACACTATTTTTCTAAAACAAAGTAACATTTTTTTTTTAATGTTAATAGCCGTACCGAACATGAAACCTCTAATCAACGTGAAGACAAACATAAAAATATAATCCTACCGCCTTTTCTTTGCTTTGTTTGATAGAATCTATTTTCCGCGTATTTTTACGTTATTTGCCTCCATAAGAACCTTGCTCAGAATTCAACAAACACAACGAAAATGGAATCAGCGAAATTGCTTCAGCTGTTCTTGATTTTTGCTGAGCAACACATTTACGATTTCATATATGATATTCTTAATGAAAATTCTTAAAAAAGGAAAACGGAATACCCGGATTTTTTAAGCATTTTTATTAAGAATATTTTCCGATATATCATTGTGAATGCAAAATTTATCAAATATTATTACAAGTTATGATTTTAAGAAAGTCCAATGTGTTCAAATCTGCCCCTTACATCAGCTAGTGATGTGCGAGCGACTGAGGTTAGGGGTGAGGTTACTGACTTGGTAACGCAGTGTGCTGCGGTGAGCACCCACTGCGTGCCGATCAGCGCGGCCCCGCACAGGTACTGGTTGAGGGAGTTGATGAGCGCCACCTGCCAGCACCATTCCCCGCGCTCCCCGTCCTCCCCGCCCATCACGCGCCCCGCACGCCCTAGCGCCCGAGACGTGCTCGCCGACCCGGACCCGCCCGACGTACCTGACGTGTACCAATGGACACAAATATATATCTATATCTTCATGCCATATTCCTGATGTTGGCGGATGTCTGCAGACATTTGGAGGACCGGGGGCCTGGGGCGAACCGCCCCCGACATCCCCTCTTAGTCCGCCACTGCACATCACACACAGATTCCAATGCTTAGATTCATTGCTAAGTTTGGTTAATGCGTTCTTATTTATCTGTTTATTAATTAAATTGATTTAATTCAAATAATCTATCTTTGGGTTCTGGATGTACTCACCTTTCACGCCGCAGACATATTTGTTGTACTTTTCCGGAATTTTCAATGTAGATCCGTAATTGGGCTCATAAATCGCTAAAAAAAGAAAACCAGAATATATATATCTTTTTAAATCTTTTAAAAACTTATCAAGCCTAAAAGCTTAAATAAAAAATAACAAGGTTATGACCTTGTTATTAATGATAATAATAATTATCTATTATAAAAAAAAAACAAAGCGGACCGACTAGTCGCCCAATCAGATTATAAACCATACTACTAATTTTGAAATTAGCGGAAATGTTACAAAGATAAAGGTATAACGGTACGTGTCGCTGTATCGTTTTCTATCTGACACTTACCTAATATTTGGGTGATTATTCGTTTTTACGTCGGCCCTATGAAAAAAGTTTACAATTCTAGACCTAGCGTTTATGACGTCACATCGAATCAACGTATGCAAAACAACATCCCAGGTAGTGAAGCCATTCATAACGCCGAAGACAGATTAGGATGACGAAGAATAGTCCACGACAGACATTCAGCGTAGTTACGACCCTCACGTAGTCACGACCCTCAGCAAACGACATCAAAACCGTGAAAAACAATAACGCAATAGTTACTAACGCATGGGCGTGGTGGTGGGGTTGGCGGGCACGGCGTGTGGGTAGGCGGGCGTGGTGGGGAGCGGGAATGTATCGTTGCGGTCCCGCGACCCGAGTGCCTCCTGCACGCGGGACTTGGGCGCGCAACATTGCGTGCCAGACTTCTTACACTTGAAAACGTCCGTCATTTCCGCGTTACCTGTCACAAATACAGTTTAAAAGTTAAACGGATTGATTAGCTTGTCTAAAGAAGAAGGTATGATGCGCTATTCTACAAATAGGGCGAAGAAGTGGCTCGAAGATCCTGTGCAAGAAATAGGAAGAGCTTTATCGAATACCGAACGCTTTAGATTGATGTAGAAACTATTTTCTATATCTATCGAAAACATGTGGTACACGATAGCACTTTGAGCCACTATTCCTTCACTGATCAATGATCATACGGAATAATTTATGTGAAATATTATTAAAAAATATATATATCATTATGTATATGGCACCTATTCTTAAAAAAAAAGTCATGGTTAGGTACTCTTAAAAAGAACCTACTGCGCAGAGTGATGAGAGTTTTTGTATACTAGCTGTTCGTCATTATCCTCCCCGCTTCGTCCTACCGCACGTCCGGGCAGTCTGAGTACCGCTAGCAAAGACATCACTTACGTCTATCAACATTATTTTCGCTTCTGTCTTTATTTTACTATGTTTTATATTTTTATATATATCTTTGACAGCTGGTTAAATCGGTTCCAAAAACGTACGGTGCTTATTTGATTGTTGACGGTACCAGTTGATGTGCCTATGACGTCGTCAACAGTCGTCGACGGCAAACTTGAAGCCAATTAGAACGATAGTTTCTACAGGATAGCTACCTTGTATCTTGTATTTATCAAGTGTCCATGACCATAAACAAAGTTATAAAAACAACATATCGAAGGCAATGAGTGTACGTGTACTTACGGAAGCATGTGAAGGAAAGGTATGGCACAATACATGAGCCGGGGCAGTCGGCGCGCGGGTCAGCGGGCTGAGGACGCGGCGTGGTAGTTGTCGTCGGCGGCGGACGCTTTGTGCGCTTGGGCACGCTGACATTACAATTACAATCATAATGTTAATAATATTCTTTATTTCATAAAAACTGAGACACATCACAGAGAAAGCAATATTAAGGACAAAGGACAGTATACAAATGGCGGTCTTATTGCTATGCGGATAGGCGGTCAATTCTTCTAGGCAATGATAATAATAAAAGGGTATATGCAATAACATAAGTAGTATTAAAATAAATGGATATATCTGAAGAAGAAAAAGATACACTAGTATTTAAGAAAATAAAGTATAGTTATGTAAGTTACAAGTTTACATAAAGGATCTCAAGTGCGAGCTTTCCCAAATAGTTTCCGGTAGAGAATTCGATAAACGAACGGTCTGCATTAAATGGAATAGGATAGGAAATCGAAAGTGTGAGATGGATATCAAGGGTCAGGTTAGAAGCAGAGCACAGTAAACAATAATAGAAACAAATACATCCATGTATTCTAGATAAGTTGTGCAACACTAAAAATCACTTGCTAAGTCATTGTGTCTACACAACAGACAGTATTATTATTCAGTTGATTGCGAGTGAGCTAGCTGAGTGGTTGATGCGCCGCGAAAGTTGTATTATAATCGACAAAATAATACTTTTTAGTAACGTAAATTCAAGTTATTTAAAAGTTTCTTTAATTACTCAACGTCGTTTAATATGCAACCTTAAAATATTGTTATTATTGCCTTCTCGCTCACTTTTCACTAGTGAGCGAAACGGAAAAACGTCGATGCTCGCTCGTGTTTCACGAATGATTTCTGTTAACATAACTTATTCCATTGTAATAAAAGGAAAAAACATTGTGATTCGCGGGATTTCTTCCGTGAAACGAACTCTTCTGTCACAATTTAAGTTCTGTGTAATTTATTTATTACATTTATGTATATCAGTATTTTTATTTATTTGTGTATTTATTTAGTGAATAATAGGTATCTAAAAGGAGAAATAAATGTAGTTTTTTAATAAATAACAAGTTTTGTCTTTCTATGGCCCAAAAAGTCGCCATTTACAGCCTGGAAAGAGGTCACGTATTGAAAAAGATTCGAAAAACACTGATATACGTAGAAGCCTTTGAGAAGAATTAGATATTCAGTTCCTATAACAAAACAAGGGTTTATGAATACAAGAAAATGAAGCAGTTATAATATATGAAACGAGAGAAAACAATATAAATGTCAGTATATAATGACATTAAATATCAGGGTTATTTACTTGGAGTCATCGCAGCATACTCGTCCGCTAGCCTTGCACTCGGTGTTGGGCATCAGCGTCGCTGGTTGTTCACAGAATGCCACCATTATCGTCAGCATACATCGTCCCGGACAACGACGCAGTGGCGGCTGAGGACAAACATAAAAAAGGTGATGTTATATGTAATCATTATATATAATCACAGTGCCGTATTAGCTAAGGAGCAAATGCTACGGGCCCCGCGTGTTTGGGGGCCCTGCGCTTTGGAGCCGCGCTATTCGAGAAGTAAAATAAACCATGCTTCTGCTTTAACTCATATTTTTAAGTATAAACATAAACTGACAAATATAGCTCAAGTCAAAGATTAGTTGTGTTGTGTTATATGAAAAACAAAGGACAACTTTTCTATTCCGTTTATAAATTTACTGATTCCGAGTATTCATCATCGTCATCCCGAAAGCTGATTGGAAGAATGTCCATAATTTTTGGAAAAGCCATAAACCATAACGTACCATTATTTTGTTGTTAAACCTCAAAAAGAAGAAGGCGCGTGTTGATACTTGCTTTGTTAGTCAAATTGAGTCTAAACAGTTGTATTGGCGGTTACCTTTACAATGAAATGTTACAAGAAGTGTGACTGTAAGAATGTTGTTTATTTCAATCAAACACATAACCTCAAGCAAACTAAGAGCCCTTCAAAAAATTTGCTTCAGTTGCCGCTCTGACTTAATTCGGCACTGTATAATCAACACTATAAAGGTCAAATAGTCCGATACCCGAATAGAGAGAATTGCGGACAATGATCCGGAATTACATATCTCTTTCACTTGTGCGTAAACATATTGCTATTGCGCTCGCACAAGTTCATCTAGCCAAACTAAACCTGTTTACTATGTCTATAGGCATAAAAGTCATCGTACGCAATGATATCTGTTTTGTGACCAAACTATAATATTTAAACGGCCCAGGAGCAGCACGACATGCTGAGTCGTATAAACATGTTTGAAAAAACGTTAGCTTTTACTTAACAGTTTGAAGAAAAGATACGTTCGTTGATATCTTTTATATAGACATACGAGTGTGCGTTATGTTCATGCGCTTTATTGCTCTGTCAAGGCTGGATAAAACCATCGACTTATATATATTTTAATTTTAAATATATATTAATAATGTTTGACAACCAAGTACAGTCAGTAGTATGTTGGGTTACTACATAATGCATTCTGCAATTTTTAAATTGAGCTAAAAGTTTGCATGCAGTATTAAAATACAATATTAATATCGAATGGAATTTAGACCTTTGTTATCAAATGACGCAACTTGAGTCTGAGCTAATGCTATTTATCTTAAAAATATACTTTCGATAAAGATGACAATTTTCAAGAACGTAACAAGTGTCAGGTACTGGGTAGCTCAGTGGTTAGAGCAGTCGCCCGGATTGTAAAAGCTCGTGGGTTCGAATTCCATCTCTGAATACCAAGGACAAAGTGGATTTTTCATTGAAAATATTTTCCAGTACAGCATAATAGATTCGCCAGTTTTCAAGGTATACAGACTATTTGTTACAAACGAAAAATACTTGCATCAAAATTTTTGGAAAAGATCCCCCAACTCTCTTAAAAATGGGAAGGGAATTTTGTATGTGAAGTTCCGGAAATTTTAAGGTGAAAAGCTGACTTATTAATAGTGAATAGGCTTTCTGTTACAAGTAAAGAATGTAAATAAAATAATACATTGAATATGACTGAGAAGTTAACATCAAAAGATAAGAAGAATTGTTACTCCGATAGATGGCGCTACTAGAATTTTAAAAATATTTGTTTTACCTTTTTTTAGAAATGCTACCAAAAGTAACAAAACAATACCAAGCTAGTAAGCATCAATTATAATATTATTAAGTTTAACCTATCTGAATATGGCGTAATACGGCCGCCATGTTTGATTTTCCTTAACGTCATCAATCTAAGAACACTTGAACTCTTAAAATAAAACTAAAGATTCTTCAATTATGTAAATCCGCTTAACACTTCTGGACATATGAGGTAATATAGAATATTACATACATATATACAGAAACAATACATGCGAAAAACATAAACCTTCCTTCGCAATCGGATAAAAAATAAAGACTGACTGATTGTAATAACCTTTTCTTTATTTTTTTTCTCATAATATGATCCTTATAAGAAAGTTTCATTTTCGGCCGAAACTGAGAATGTTACCGAAATTCGGTTTCGGTCGGACACTACAAATAAGACTTCTTTAATGTGTAGTAGGTACAAAAAGGTTTACTGAAAAGTGTTTGAAAATTTGAATAAATTATATCGTGTAAATTATAAACACTCCTTGGAGTATTTATTAAGTTTGTATTGGTATTTAGAACTGTATGTCAATATACTCATATGAGTGTATTTTATTCAATGTTTTTGACCTACTTATCATCTTTTGTATGTCCATATTGCTCGATTATATTTATTTAACCCTGTGTATCCTAATTATTTCCTATGCCCTATAACTATTAGTTATAGTTACCGGCGTGGTAGGTCTGGGAGTGGTGGTGGTCTCCGGCTTGTTGTCGGTGATGCAGCAAGTGCCGTCGGCGGGGCACACGGCGTCTTCGTCCACGTGATCGCACAGCAGCGCAAACAGACCGCTTATGCAGTCCCCCTGACACTTGCGGCCGGGCCGAGGACGCGGAGGGACCGTCGTCAACTGATCACAGTTATAAATCTATCAGTATTGTTGGCACTCGGGTAGCTCAATGGTTAGAGTAGTCACCCGGATGGCGAAAAGTCGCGTGCTCGAGTCTCATCTCGTGGTACCTGGGACTGATGGAATTTTAAACACAGGGGATATATCGCCACAATGTACGGTCCTTACATACATCTCTCACCACATCCACTTTCATTACTATTTTCATACATACTCGCCGGTTTTAAAATTCGCAACGTAGATAGTAGTGCATCAAAGATTCTCGAAAGGTAGTCACAGGAACTTGACGTTCAGTCCGAAAGTTAATTGAAACATTAGTAGAATAGACTCGTAAAGTGATTTTACGACTTTGTAATGCTTACAATATTATTTTATAATATACAATTTGTGTCTTATTTTCAAGTATCGCATAAAACATATTCAAAAGGTAATTTCTTTAGTTATCATTGGTTCCGCTTAAAAAATCGTCTTTTAGGGTTCCGAGACAAAATAAAACAGGGACTTTGTTCTACATACTTTTCGATATAATTACTAAATATATTCTTACCGCAGTAGTAGGCCTCTTGGTGGAATGCTTCTTCTCATTGGGCACGACCAGATCAGCGGGGGGCTTGTCACCATACCCGTCCTTGGAGACGCAGCATAGCCGCCCCTCCACGCATAGGTTCTTGGAGGTCAGGTACGAGATACAATACTGCGTGAGACTTGTCTCTACACATACTCCAGGACATGCGATATTACCTGCACAAGATAATGAATATGGTCAGTACCTAAATTAACTATTAATCTCATTTAACTGTAAGGAAATATAAAATATCAAAGCAAAATCTCGTGAAGGTTATATTTTTTCAATAAATTGTAAAAAACGAGAATTAACGCGATTAGATCCAATAATAGACTGTCTACCGGTAATAAAAAAATCTGTACAACCAACAATAGGGACACGGTTAGTGTTGTGTATGACGATATTTGGAGAAAAAACTGGATGCCATAAGTGGATTCATCATACCACCAGGTACTACAGGAGGTGAAAAAGCCTAATTATTGGTTCTATACTCGTTCTTTACAATTCGTTGTTTTTTAGGGTTCCGTACACCTGACTGCATCTCATGAACCGTGAAAGTTAGCCGCTTCAACAACAAATACTAAAAACCAGAATAAAATAAATATCTAAGGGGGCTCCCATAGAAGAAATTTGATTTTTTTTATTATATTTATACTTTTTAACTTTCCCTTTTAAATAATGTTGGTCTAAATAATTAATACAGCATCGAACACAGCTCTATCGCAGCATTCAAGGATCAATCAAAGCCTACTTCAAAAAGTAATAAAGATTTTATTTGATTGAACTGTGACAGCTCTGTGTTCGACGTACGCTTGAAAAACGTCTTCAGAATAATAATATATTCAGGTACATTAGGTTTCCAAAAATTACGATTTATGAACCAACCTATTAACATCTCTATATTAAGATTTGTTACAATAAATAATTTTATAAAGGTATACTCAAAGGCTGTTAGGGTAGGTAGATCGTCCTGTCCAGCCAATTTGAGTAAACTATAACACCCTTTACACATTCAATATCATACTCTAACTCATAGAGATTGAATCCTAATTACATAAGAGTGATACCTAATAATTACCACTGTCTTTGTACGCGTCGTGCGGCGCCACCGTGGTGGTATCCTCGTCCTCATCATCAGCCTCTGTGGTGGTATACCGCGTAGTGAATGGCCGACGGGTCGTTATCACAGTGTCATTCCCTGGAACAATCATTTATAAAGAATAAGCAGATGTTTTGAAAACAATTAAAAAAAAACAGTTGATTTTATACTCGTAGTAGCTCGGTGGCGTTGTGGATAAGCGCCGCGGCCCGCGAACATTGCTCTTAAGCAACTTTTTATTAACTTTATATTGTAGTCGTTAATACCATCCAATCCGCATTGGGCCGGCGTGGAAGGCTCCTTAACCTTCCATAAGCAAAGCCTGAGCCCCTGCGGCGTGGACGTAACAAGACTGATGATGATGATTTTAAACTCTACACTCAAAACATTTAGATTTAGACACGCTGTTGACTGTACTTATAAAACACTGTATATAAAACTAGAGATATACATACAAATTGAGAAAAATAACGCAAATGTCTGAGACAAGAACTCCCGTAATTCAAACGGAGAAAAAGACATAACTAATTTATTATTAAACTATCACTATGCTAAATAGAGCAAATTCAAATTTTACCAATCAAATCTTCCCAAAGGGCCCCGACTATGAGTCGTTCTGTTCTGTATCAGAATTTATGATTTGTTTTATGTGTTGTGCCGGTTAGATGGAAATAGTAAATGAGATAGATTGTACAGTTTTATAATTTATTAATAATTATAGTTAACATGGGGATGGATTCGTTATTAGTCGATCGGATGCGCAATAAAAAAATTCGAGAATACCACTGCCCTGGTAAAGGAGGAGTTCGTCCACGGCGCGGTGTACTAGGGGATGACCTTCTGATCGAAAACCTCGCTATATCCAATCGGCCTTGCTGTAGGGGTGCACCCCTTAATATGGGGAATTATTATCACAATAACTGTATTTAAATTGAAGTTGATATTTAAATTATAGTTTTGAATTTCGGTAATAAGCAAAACAGCTTAGAAAAATAGTTCAACTGACGAGAATCCGTCTTTACTCTGCGGTAGTATAAAAAATTGTCTCTCGCCGTTAAGAAACCGGCCTGCAGGTTCGGTCGACGATGCGCGAGCGCACGAACAATAGGTTTAACATACAAGCGCTTTGTCTTGACTTTGCCTTGGCATTTATTTATTATTAATTTTTATTAAAATATTTTTATTTTTTTTATATTCAATTTTTAAGTTGATATTATTTAATTATAAGATAGTTAAGTTTATTTTGTACATACACGTATTATTTTGTTCATTGTTCTTTTTTCTCTGTTGTTAGATTAGGATTAAATAATTAAGACTTAAGTAATTTTAAAATTTGTACTATTGTTAATAGAGGGTTGAGTAAACCGTTATAGTGTGTATCTATTATAAAACTATTTCAATTGTGTAGTTATTTAGTATTACTTAACAGAATTCTAAACTACTGGGCTTTTTTCTTTCTTTTTAGTTTTTATTTAAGTTAATTTTATCATGTATTTTTTTAATTCGTTTTTACGCAGTCAGGTTTTTGTTTTTCTTTAAATTATTTATTTTTATTTTATACTTTTTAGTTATCTATGAAGAACTTTTTTTTACAAGGCGACTTGGCGATGAATAAAAGTTGTTTTAAAATATAAACCAAAAATATCTATACTTTAAATAAAAATTTAAATCAATAAGTAAGAAAATTAGCGAGAATTATTGTTTTGTTAAACAACTTTAAATCGTTATATATCCTATATTGAAAATGAAAATTGATAAAAGGAACCTAATGATTTTAAAATACCTATTCAACGACACCCCACTTGACATAGTTCATCGATTTTTTTTTCATTTTGACACCATGTCGTCTGGTTGTCGTTGTGGTGAATTTTGATTACGCAAGGTTAAGACGAATCGATTGACGTAAGAATCATCAAAATCGGCCTACGCATTTGGTCTCTAGAACACCACATAGAAACAAACATACATACATACATAGACTGATAAACACATATTACCCTCCTTTGCGTCGCGCTGTCGAGTAAAAAGAGCCCGATGTAATAAGTGCGCTCGGTCTGTTGTTAAGCAACTTTCGTAAGGGAGTCATAGAATGGGTGGTAAAAATTACTATCTCAAACTCCTCCGTGCTTCGGAACGCACGTCAAGCCGTAGGTCCAGGCTGCATCTATAGTAGTTAACACCCACCAGTCGGCACTGTGCTTTCGTGACAGATCATGGCCACCATTCTCCCTATTCAATTCGAGTCCGTCCATAGGATAAGCCTGTGCCCTAGCAGTGGAGACATTTATAATGCGATGATGAATGCCGAAGAGGCATATAACCGAAGATTGCATTCTATAAGAAATATCGATGCACATATTAAAGAGCTAAAGAGAAAGAGGAATTAAGTAGGGTTTGAGAACTAAAAAACTGAAAAATACGACTCTATATAATTTTAAAATTATTAGTAAGCACTAGTAGTATAATAATATTTTTACCTGTACATAGATAAAAATATTTTTCTGTGTTACATACGATATCAAATTAGAATGCAGTTAATAACACATTTAATATTTGTTTCACGGTCCGACTTCAAATGAAGTTCTTTCTAACTAGTTAACATGTAATAATTTTGGTAACTTATTCTATGATCAGTCCTTGTATGTTTGATTTTTTACCAAATACTGATACACGTTTATACATAATAAAAGCTCAAAACAGATCAGCTCACCGTTTGTGTACGTTTAAGATTTTTATAACTTTTTGATTGCTGACAAAGGAATAGAGTCAAATTCCTTCCGATCTATAAAATTGGACATAATAAACTTATACCAACCCAATGGCTCGTCGAAACAACACTTCATGGATGGCTTTGGGCACTCCACCTCTTCGAGAACATTCGAGCAGATCAGGGAGGCAAGCGCGTGCATGCACACGCCAGGACAGTTCTTCGCGTCCACCTGCGTATCCAGGGTGTCCAAAAGACCTGAAACATAACACATTGCGTTATATTGATATGAAACATATTCTGTATTCACTAAAGTTAGGAGTTGTCCAAATCTGTCGCTTAAATAGGTATTTAGGAATCGCCTAAAGTGAAAACGCATTTCATCAATTACTAGAGATGACGTCACGACACTAAGCAACATCTAAAGTTATGATGCGAAATGCGGCACCTTGCGCTAGGCGTTTGCATAATAATAACAGACCACAAATGGGTAGGTTCAGTCTGGATTAACGACTGTATATTCAGCCGGGATAAACAGTTTTGGTGCCTTCTAAGCAAGAAGGAGCTCTTAAGACTTTCATATATAAAAATAAATAATTCTTTGTTTAAGACCCTGTCACCAGCCCCTGTGAAAGCAGAGCCTTTACATCGCAGACCGAACACTTTAAAGTCGTGCTACATAGTCAAACATCGAGCTCAATAAAAAATGCTAATAAGAAACAGATCTCGTTAGTTCTGTCATCGACTGCATATTACTATTATTATTATTAATCTATCAAAATGTTAAAAGTCTCTTCACATCTCATATTTAAATAGAAAATATATCATATACATACATATAATAGTAAATATAAATATAAACATACATATTGCTTCCTTAAAAGAAATATGTGAGGTGCAAACATGTAAACCAAAACTATTTGGCCTAGTTAAGAATTTCATTTCATTATAACGATGACTTTGGACGCTAAGGGTGGAAATGTTTCATAAAATTTGCATAGTAACAGGAGTATTTGGGTTAGTCAGTCAGTCAGTCACTGTCATAAGGGCGTCTAAAATTTTCGCTCGGAATGCGGACGACCAATGACGGCGGTCGGCCGGTAGCGCAACGCGACCTGCATACTGAAGTAAAGGCAACGACAAGGACAAGAGCGAAACTGTGAGCTAAATGTCTGAATATGAAATCTAAAAAATAAAGTTATAGCGAATGTGATAGCGATTTATGAAATAATGTAACTCTTAAAGTCACAATTACTTTTGGAACGAATGATTGGAATGACCAAGAAACAATAAAAACGTAGCTTAAATGAAACAACTTTTAAACGGTTTCATCACGTATTAGGTAGCCAGGGGTAACAAAATAACTTAAATGTATTTATAAAATAATTTAATTTAAGAAATGTAACCGTTTCTATTTTTTATTGTGAATGTGTCCAATAGTATTGTTTGGAAGCTAGCTCTTAATTAAAAAGACAATCAATTAGTCTTATGTGAACACTGAACCTGTTGAGTTGGCATTCATCTCTTTCGTTTGACAATGACAATATAAAGCGCCAGTCAGTGAGATAGAAAGGGATAAAGCGTATTGCGAGTCAAAAACAAAATTTAAATAACTACTAGCAAATCATTCATTACATACGATTATTGTAAAATTACCAATCCCATGCCAAACCACATCAACACGTGACTTAGATAAATAGCATATAGTAAAATGCTTAAGGCGAGGTTGTACGAAATTACCACTTTTTTCTAAAGTAATTTTACTCTAAAGCAATGCTAATATTTGCCAAATAAAAATGATTTTATGAAAATTAAAAGTCCGTATGGATTGAGAAGCGCGGTTTGAACATAAACATATGATTGATTGTTTGCTCAGAACAGAAACATACTCGAAAATTTCAAAAATCTTCTCGATCGAAAAAATCTCGAAATTTATTATTTGGATTTTACGACTAGTATATTCTATCTTAACTATATAAATATATATACAAAAATAGGTTTTGATATATTCTTTTAATAACATTACCTTTTTCTGTGATTAAAAATGTATGAAATCAAGCGAACGCGTCTTTACTCTCGATGCGTATTTGTTTGCGTATTTGTAGGGGAACGTAACGATAATTTATCAATATAGCATTGTGAATGCAAATTAATGAAATACTATAAGTGACTCGTATATTTAATACATTTTCCTGTAGTAAAATAGTATAGGTATATTTATATATCTGATTACAAGAAGGATGAACAATATGATGAATTTCAGAGGTAAATCTTTAGTTTTTCAATAAACACATAGATATTTATTAAAAAATATAAAGATATATATGATTATTCTTAGAATGCGAGACTGCTACAATGTACCTTGTTTTTGTTGAGTACCCGTTATTTCTTTGTTGTATATAGTTGAAAGTTAGTGATTTTTTGTTAAGAAAGCTTAAGCCCTACCATTTAATTTAACTTTAGCATAAAATAACGTTTTTCTTTCACTATCAATACGAAATTATTGTCTACTCTTCACTCTTAAAATGTACAGTCACGATCAAACACGCGGTCGGCAGGAATTTATCTAGTTTCTCCAAAAAACAGTCAAATACCTAACTGTTGTTTTGTTTTATCTGATACTTACTCCAAATAAACACGACCATAAAAAATTTACGAAATTGCCATAAAACCGTTTTTATAAAATACAAAAGTTGTAATTCATATATACAAGCGTCATATTTAAAAATGTTTCATCATATAACAATCATATTTAAGAAAATAAAATGTGGAACGTTGAGTTTATGGACAAAAAATTGACTTCACTCAACCAAATAACACAAGTTTCCAAGAAGGAACATATCATTTAGTATATAATACCTGCACAGCTTTTTTGTCCTCAAATTTTAGCTAAAATATTTTCCATGTTACCTTTTCGACATATAAAATCGATTTGCATAATATTGTTTGTAAAGAAAGTAATAAAAATGACAAAGATATTATGTAAGCTATATATTTTTAACGGGCGGTGTCACCGACCGCCGACGCGCAGTTATGCGACCAATAACCTTAAAAAATGTCAATAAATATGGTAGAATGAGGAGTCCCATTCATTTTATTTATACGCAAAACGAGACGTAGTATTTTATATAATAAAATTTACTGAAACCATGTTTTCGATCGAGAAATCAATAGTAGCCATTTTGTTCAAAAATTAATTTGCATAAGACTGTTTACTCTGTAGTAAGGTGTCTAATGTCTGTCTCATGAAAAAGTCCCACGGGCACAGGGTCCCTCTCTGTCGTATGATTAGCCATTGCTAACCCTTACTGATTCTGAAAACTTGAACTTCCGGTTTGAAACATTTGAAATGGTTCTTATAATTTTGTTAAAATCATATCCGTGAAGATTATCGGTGCGTCAGAAGCAGTGTCAGGTAAATATTAAGTCGAATGAGTAGTACATAATTTTGAGCAACAAGTCGGTTGTCAAATTTAAGAAACTTAATTTAAAAGTATAACCAAATCTTTGTATGAATTCAAATGAAGAAAAAAGAAATTTGGTAACCATTAATGATTATAATTTTTTGAAGTCTGATTTTTATTTTAAGAAATATTATGGGTTTTTATCACCTACCAAAATCGAGGGCTTTTGTAGCGGGATTATTTCTTTTTATTGAATTATTAAAGTTTATTTTTCAATTAAATTAATATTTCGCTCTTTATATCAATGCTCAACAACAGGTTTCCTATTTTAGCTTTCCCGTATCTTTTCAAGACAACCTGTCATTCATTATTTTTGCCTGAACAAACATCTTCAAAGAGTTATTTATAAAGGTATATAGATAATATGAAACATTAGTCGTAAAATTGTTTCAAAGGATTATTAGGAGTCGTCTTTTTAATTTTGTTAAGACCAACCTATTATATTACTAAGATTATAAAGCTCGCACGAGGCTGGTTTCAATTCAACATGTCACCATCTCTTAAATCCCGGATTCGATTCCCAATCAGGCCAATTAGCAAAAGTCTTTTCTATATTGTCTCTGATTTGGGTGTTATGATATTTTCGTTGTTTTCGATTTTCGTAATAGTTGCTTTCTTCTTTTTAATTTAGATTGGATTGGAGGATTGGACTTTGTAAAACAAAAGTTTCTATTTTCGATAATTTCGATGTTAACAAAAAATTGCTTAATACATATCTAATATATTGCTAAAACTCTGTACAAGCTTTTTATTACAATTTTTATCATTTAAAACAAACTGGTATTGGATCAAACTTCAATATAAGAGCTAAAAACCGCTATAGTATCGCAAAACGTATTCATAAATATCGATTTCGTGGTTTTCGTGTAACATAACGTCATTCGTGGATGATAATAGCTATTATAAGTATAATTGTTGTAGTGGACTGTTAACATTCCACAACCTGTACTTAATGACCGGCAGTCATAATGGCGCCCAACTCTCGGCCGTATTGTGTTACCTCAACGAAGGGCAAGACGCACCGCCCACGCATTCCTATGATTATTAATCAGGGGTTCTCAAATTGTTATTTGTTATAACGGTAGACTCGTCACAGTAGCAAGACTGTTTCGACAGTTAATAATCTATCTTGTATCTCTTTTTAAAACGTTTCCAAGGAAGAAAAAAATCAATTGAAAAAAATTTAAAAAACTATTTCATAAAATCTTAATAAAGAAAAACGAATGAAAAAGGGAGAAATAATACCATAAAATTCTTATCTTAAATCGAAACACAAAAGCTTATTTATCCTGAAAGTATTGAACCGATTGATCAGAGATCCAAAGATTATAGAGTAAAGTAAATAAATTAATTTTAGATATTGTGACCTGTTTTGAAAAACATATTAGAAAAATAAAAAAATAGGAACTATATCGCGTGACATATCAAATAATTATTTCTTGTAGAAATTAAGAATTGTTGATATACATAAACGACCTCTCTAATCTTAAGTTAGATAAGGGTTATCAGTGTCCTTTTTTCTCGGCTCAGAGGACGACGTTTACGGGTTGATGCAATGTGGGTTCAACTTAGTTAATAAATGGCTTCAGGATCACTTACCAACAATAAATGTAAGTAAATGTATCATATGAAGTTTTCAATGCATAATTCAACAGCTTCTAATACTAACTTACCACAATTTGTTCATTATAGTAACGTGCCATATGTTAACCATATCTTGGGATTATATTAGATGAAAATCTATCATTCAAGAAACGTAAAATATTTTTTTTAAAGTTACGACTCATTGCAGACATTGCAATAATTAGACAAGTTTACACAGCACTTTGCCAATCAATTTTATCTTACTGTGTTACTGCATGGGGCGGAGTGGGCAAAACTTTACTAATATCTACGGATAGAGCACAGAGAGCTATTCTTAAGTTTTCTACTTTACGTCCTTTCCTTTACCCTACTAGTTTGCTCTATGAAAATTGTAAGGTTTTAACAGTTAGGCAGTTATTCATTATGAGTATTGAACTAAAACAATACGCAGTAATTATTATAACACAGAAATTACTAATAAAAGACGAAAGGATAAAGTTTGCACTAAAAAAACTAAAGTGAAATGTACTTTTACAACAAAATTCTACAAGTAACTAGGCCCATCATTACACAATAGATTAAACGCTACAGCGCTCATTTACTCACTAAAATTTAGAAATTGTAAGTTAAAGATTAAAGAAACCTTTAATTGTGTTAAAGTAAGTTTTATATTCCTGTTATTATTAATTTGTTTGTGATATAT